GAGCGAGCTCCTGGCTCCAGGCCCCGTCACCCACAGAGAACAAAAGGGCAGAGGAAAACCGGCGAGAGGGGCAGCCGGCGGTGGGCTTGCCCCTCAGCTGAGTGATGCTCAGCCCCGAGCACCCCTGACTGAGCAGGTGCCCCTGTGAGGTCTCCCCACCGTACACGTGCCAGGTCCCAGCAGCTCTCGAGGTGGGGCCCCTCACCATTCCCACCTAGAGGAGAGGAAACAAGGCCGCAGAGTTTAACCTGCCCGAGGTCGCATGGGGGACATGCCAGGCGGAGCCATCAAATTCAGTCTCTTCACACTCCGACTCAAAAAGAGAGCGGACTTACCGAAAGGAAGCCACCACGGATGATGGTAAATGAGACGTGAGCATTAACGGCGGGCCCGCTGACGTCAGGGAACCTTTACAGGAACCAATATTTCCTGGTCAGATCAGCTCGTAAAAGCCAGGCCGGCGGCCTCGGCAGGTCCTTCTGGACCACCTAAGGCTTCTCTGCCTTTTCTCAGCTGGTGTGGCGGGAACCCCCAGGGGGTGGTAAACACACACACCCCGCAGATTCTCTCGATGCTGCTGTTGGAAATGGCGCTTCCAGACGTCGCCTTTGCTTCTGTCCTTTGTCCTCACCGAGGGCGATTCTCTCTGGGGGAGGCGGCCTCCGCCTCCTCTAGAATCTGAAGCGAGGCCCACGCTGCTCCTGACGCCGGACCAGCAGGAAAGCCCAGCGTATCCGTGGCCTGGACGAGGCTGAGCCGCCTCCAGGCAGGCCACCTCGCTTTCCTCACCTGTGGACGCCGCCTGGACATGCTCGTCTGTCTGGATAGAATACGAGAACTCGCACATTCATTTATTGTCAGGCTGCAGCCTAAGGTAGTGGAGACCCCTCCTTTAAAAGCCAAGCGAGGCCCTGGCCGGTGTGGCTCAGTGGTTGAGCATCAACCTAGGAACCAGGAGGTCATGGTTCAGTTCCCGGGCGGGGCACAGGCCCGGGTTGCGGGCTTGGTCCTCAGGGGGGAAGGCGGGGCACGCAGGAGGCAGCCCAGCAGTGGGGTCTCTTGGGTGCGGTCACTTTCACTGCCTCCTATGGGGTGTCCACCCCTCCCCAATACACCCGGCCCTCCACCTGCAGCCAAAGGCTAACTGCCAGATGCAAACCCAACCCATGACCCCTGCTGGGGAAGGTGCCATTCTGCACAGGCCACAGGCCTGCTTCCCGTGGCCTCGGCACGGCAGCCCTCACCTTCACCCCTGCCTCCGGCCTCTGGGCCCTCACACCTGCTGTTCCTGGGGCACGCTCCCCTCCCCCACAGACACCCCTTCCCAGAGGCAAAAGCCACGGTCGCTTAGAGACAAGGAAAGGTTTCTGGCTGGAAGGACGTTGAGCTGAGGGAGGGGGGGGTACTTCTGCAGGAAGAGGGTCACGGCTCTGCATCTTCCATTTATCACTGCCCAAGGCAGCGGGCCAACAGCGCTCATCAGCAAGATTCACGCTTGAGCGATTCAGAATAATAAGGGCTTCGCCACCCTGTGCTCTGAGGCCTGAGCCTGGCACAGAGCGAGCCTGTGGGGGGCTGACTGGTCCCAGGATGCACCCCTGTTCCGGGGACAGGCCTGGCGTGAATTTAAACCTGCACAGTCAGCTTGCTTGATTGGCGCATGGTGGCGGCTGCCCAAGCGTCTGAGCCAGCGCAGAGCCCTGCCCGCGGGAACGTGGTGGGTGACAAAGCGCAGGCAGGTAGGCTGGGCTTTACCCAGCCTGCTCCGGCCTCTCAGATTTCGACATCAGTGAGCCAAGCTCCTAAGGTCTCTGTCGCCCGGACACCGGCTCTGGTGCAACCGACGCCGGCACGGCTCTGAGTTGCAACAGAACTTGCAGGCACCCGCGCTCTGGGGCAACAGAACTGCAGGCACCCGGCTTCCTGGGGCAACAGAACTGCAGGCACCCGGCTTCCTGGGGCAACAGAACTGCAGGCACCCCAGCTTCCTGGGGCAGCAGAACTGCAGGCACCCAGCTTCCTGGGGCAACAGAACTGCAGGCACCCGGCTTCGGGCGTAGCAATGCTTATGCCATCATGTATGTGTGTGTCATCCCCGCTGCTATGGTGACCTCTTTGGGGGAAAAGAAAGTACAGCCCGGCCAGTGTGGCTCAGTGGTTGAGCATCGGCTGGTGAACCAGGAGGTCACAGTTCGATTCCTGCTCAGGGCACAGGCCTGGGTTGCGGGCTCCATCCCCAGTAGGGGGCGTGTGGAAGGTAGCCGACCCATGGTTCTCTCTCCCTCTCCTTCTCTTCAATCAGTTTAAAAAACATACAAAGCACACCTCCTTTTAGTTTTCTTAAGTATACAAATAATGACATAATTATCTCACTCATAAATTATTTACAATTATGACATATTGGGAGGATATAAAGCTTTAGGAAGCCAGTGAGGGAGGGAATCTTAGAGTCCGGAGTCAACCAGCATTGCAGAGCAGCGCGTCATTCTGTGCCTTTCTTTCCATTTTGTTCCTGCCGTAATGAACAGAAAGTGACTCTGGCTCCCGTCGGCCAATAAATAATCGATTAGGAAGCTGTCAGAGAACTCTCAAAATCTGGGGCACTTCGCTGGTTTCTATCGCACCTGCTGGGAATATTGCCGTCGGGGTGTAAACACCTGTTGGCTCTTTGCTCTCTGTCCGCAGGGCCGGTGAAGACTAAGGTGGAGCCTGCAGACGGGGAGCGCCCTGTGCGGGTCCAGGCGTTGAGCTCCTGGGTGGCCCGGGAGGCGGTCAGCAGTTTTCACGCAGGAAAAGGAGCGGGCGCTGAGTCACTTGCGGGCCTGCCCCTGCCCCCGTCCCTCCGTGGCTGTGGCTGCCGCCCAGCCCAGACCTCTGAGGTCATCGTTGGACCCTGGACAGCTGGAGGGAAGCCTCCAGGGCAGCCACTGCGCCGCCCCACTCACCAGTTTGGAGAGAGCACCTGGGGCCAGGCCACCACTTAGCCCCCGTCCTCTGAGAGGTCTCCGCACTCAGAGAAACGTGGCCCTCCTTCTCCATAGCTGCCCGCTGCCCGGGTCCCGCTGTGTCCGGGAAACACCTGCTTGCCCCCCCCCTCCCCGTCCCCCGCCCCTACTGCTCACCATCCAGCCAAGGGCGGGGAGTCCATTTTCGTCACCTTTTCTCTCCTCCCTCATCACCCTCACCCTCCCGCTGGGGAAATGTGTATTTCTTTCCCTCTCATCCCCGGTTCCTGTAAGGCAGGGCACCCAGCACAGGTGCCACGGACGCGTTCATTCCTGAGTCTGGGTCTTCGTGGACACGTCTGGATTGTCTCAGCTCTGGCCCTGGCTTGCAGGCCGTCTTGGCCTCTTTCTGTCCTTGGCTTCCCAGGTAGCTCCTCCACCAACCCCTTATTAAACTCTTTTATCCGTCGTTCTGTGTATGATCCATTGAAAGCCTCCTACTCACGTATCTATTATATGAAACATCTTTCCCAGTGAATTAATTTCCCAGCTTCTACATCGTCCCCTTCTTCATGATGCAAATAGTAAACGGACGTCATTTGCAGCGAAGGATGTATTTTCTAGAATTTGGGGACCCAAATCCTCTTCCTGCTTGTGGAAATACATTTACTGAGACCCTCATTTAACCAATTTTCCTTCTCTCTTCTAATTCCCATCCAGGGAAGCTGGACTCCATGGGCCTTGGTGGGTTGCAGACCCTGGACAGATGAAATGGAGGAGGAAGCGCCTGGCCAGTGAGGGAGGGCAGGAGGGGGATGGGGACAGACCCACAGATGGCAGCTTCTGTGACCCGGAGCAGCGCTCGGTGAAAGGGGACAAAAAGGCCGCCTGCTTTTCCAGCCCCCGCGGCTCCCTCCAGCACCAGCATCTGCTGCCTGGAGCTCTGGAGCGTGCTCTGCCCGCGGGAGCCGCCAGGGGCGCTGTGGAGCCGCCAGGGGCGCTGTGGAGCCGCCAGGGGCGCTGTGGAGCCGCCAGGGGCGCTGTGGCGCGTGCGCTCGCCCTCCCCGCGGGGGCCGCCAGGGGCGCTGTGGCGCGTGCGCGGCGGCGGGACGTAGGGCGCCGCCCCGTCCCAGCATGCTGTGCGGGTAAACAGACATGGCGGGCGAGGGGGACCCGCAGGACGCTGCGCACGACATGGGCAACCACCTGCCGCTGCTGCCTGGTAACCGCCGGGGCGGCGCGGGGCTGCGGGCGCGTGTCCGGAGCCCGCGGGCTGGCGCGGGGGTCGCCTGGGGCGGGGCTCGGGGCTGGGGTCCGGGGATGGGCGAGGCCGGGCGGGGCGCGGGGGCCGGGCCGCGGCCGTCACCACCTGGGCGCCCTCTCTCCGGGGTGACAGCCCGCGTGCCCCGAGCGCGCACGTCTCCGCCGGGCCCCGGCCGCACTGTCACTGCCCGCGGTGACCGGGCGGCTTGGTGCAGGGACGGCCCGGCCCGCGCTTTGTGCAAACCCGCTGCGTGCGGGGCCGACTGCCCTCCCGGCGCCCAGTCCCTCGGAGACGCCGCGCGGCCCCCGCGGTGCCGGGGGTGGGGGGTGCGAGGAGGCGGCGCTCGGCCTGGCCCTCCTGGGAGTGACAGTGACCAGGGCCACCTGGGGCGCGGGAGGGGGCGCGGGGCGTCTGGAGGCTCTGGAGGCGCGGGCCCAGGGCGGGGCGGGGCCGGCTCAGGCCCGCCGGTGGGTCGGGAGGGGGAGAGGGAGGGGAGAGGGAGGGAGAGGGAGGGAGAGGTGGCTGGGTGCCTGCATCGCATGCCGCTGGGTTGGGGGCGTAATTCCGTCGCCTAAGGAAAGCTGTGCTTGGAGGGTAATTTGTGCACCGGAGCCGCCAGCAGCCCGGTCGGCACCTGCCCCACCCGGAGGGCCCGGGAGGATGGCTCCTGCGTGACCCCGCCTCGGACTTCACTCCGCTGCCTCCCGACAGTTAGGGTTTGTCCAAAAGTCAGAGGGAGAGGCCCAGGGAGCTTGTAGATGCGATCATAGTGCTTTTCTGAATCTTCTGGGAATTTTAAAAATTTATCTTTATTGTTGAACGTGTAACAGATGTCCCCTTTGCATATGGGCATTATTTGTAAGGAAACATTGGGTTGTCCATACCCCATGCACTATGAGTTGTTTCAAAGAATAGTCCTCTTTAAGTGCCAAGGAAATAGTTAACTAAGCTGCAAAGAATCTATCCTGGCCAAGGAAACACTGGCCGATAAACCGCCCCATAGGGGAAGTGGGGTTCAGCCTTATTTATGAGAAAGGCTACCACAGGGTGTCCCTGAAAAATGCTTACACTTGGAATAATGATTAATTCCATGGTTCTTCCTTTTCCGATTTAACCCATTGGAATTAATCATTATTCCAAGTGTCTATACATTTTGTGTGTGTGGGGGGGGGGGGGGGACACCCTGTATATGTAAGGAAATCATTTGGAGACTGGAAGTCAGAATGGGTAAAATGTAAACTTAAAACCATGGAGTCTAGCCGCTGAGCTAGTAGCTGACCTGCTCAATTTTCTCTGGTGCAGCTTGTGGGCCTCTCCACAGGCCAAGTGGAAGCCATGCTGTCAGGATTGTAAATACAAGGAATTAGATTCAGAGCATCAGACGTTTCCCAAGTCCCCTGAGGGGCACAGCCTCCCCCCCGCCCCCCCACCAGTGGAGCAGCCCGGGTAGAGGTAGGAGTCGCCCGTGGTTGGCAGCTGGCATGAGGAGGACAGACCCCATTTGAGAGATGAGCACCTCTTCAGTGCAGCTTTTTCTAACTTTCATACCCCTTGTTAGTAACGCCAGGGTTTAAAGCAGGGCAGCTTCGCTTTCATAACTCACAAGTTCTGTGTGGAGAACGCTTTCTGAGACATTCCTTTTAAAATGTTTTATGTTGCACGCAAGCTTTACAATTTCAAAGCAAAATTGGTATGAAGATGCTTGCAGACATTTCATTCTCCGGTAGCGAGTGGCAGCCAGGGAGATGAGTCACTGCTATGAAAGTCCTTCCGCCTGGGAATGTGCGGTCATTAGTGGGTCTCCCTCCTTCCTGTTTCCTGTAGGATCATTAAAGAGAAAGTTTGAAAGAACCTTACAGATTCTTACTCATTCCTGTCACTCTTCAGATGAGGAAACTCACGTTAATCATTCCAGCTGGAATGAGCTGTCTTGCGTGTCTGTCACACAGAAGGATTTCAGCAGTGTGTGCAGATGCCCCTTTAAGGAGGGGACCCCGTCCCCCTGCAGTGGGGGCTGGGCCAAGTGCGTTCCTTCCAACAGGGAGGCCACAGTGGAGAAGCCCCACAGACTCGCCCTCGGCTGGGTGGTCGGTCGGCGTCTGCCGTGTTGACGAGTCACATTGGTAGCCTTTCACCTCGGGAGTCTTCCTCCCGGAACTCGTAACCTCAGTCTAATCGTGAGGACGCATCAAACAGCATCAAACAGGATGCCCGACAGAACTCCAGCTGGAGAGGGAGGAGCCGGCGAGGCCAGGGAGACGGTGACTGTGACGTGGCCTCCTGGGTGGGACCTGGGGCAGTGAGCGGACGTTAGCACAAACCAAGGAAACCCACATACAGGGGACATGAGCCAGCCGACTCCTCGGGGGGACACGTTAGCTCTGGAAATGGATATGAGGAGTACAGGAACACAACTTTTCTGTAAACCTTAAACTTTTCTAAAACAGAACTTTGGCCAAAAGCAGTAGTAAGAGGCAGAGCCGGGGCCAGACCCTGGCCCTGCGGCCTCCTCACCATCTGCAGGGATCGCCAGGCGCGAGTGGGACCAGAGCCCTGTCCCCCCGGGCTCAGACCCCGGAAGGACTGTGCCTGCGGGAGGGAGCGCGGCTCGGACATTGTCACCCACCGGCTTGTGCTCATGTATCTGGTTTCTTCTCACCATGTTTTTTTACAGCAGAGAACGAGGAGGAAGATGAACTTGAAATGGAAGTGGAAGACCAGGATAGCAAAGAAGCCAAAAAACCAAGTGTCATAAACTTTGACACCAGTCTGCCAACATCGCATACGGTACGTCGCTCAGCGGCAGGTCTAACGGACGCGTACAGCGACCTGCAGGGGCAAGTTCTCAGCGGAGGGACCGGTCGGAGCCTGGCTAGCGCTGCTCACAGCAGAGCCGGGTCCCTGGGACTTGCCAGCAGTTTCACCCCTCGTCCTGCTGTCACCCTTTGAGGAGTGGTCCCCTTCGTTGTGTGTTTCTGCTGGTCGTGGAGGCACAAGTTACTTACTCTCTGCACCACTGGGCACTGGGGCGCTGCTTACCCCCCTGACCTCTCACCCTGTCGTGTGTGATATTTGGGCAGAGAGCTGTTCTTATCTCAGTCAAAATGAAGTCTTTTGAACTAGAAAAATGGGCTTGGAATTCTAAGAGCCAGAACTAGACTCTCATGGGGGATGCTGATGCCCAAGGTCACTATTATTTGAGAAAAGTTAGTGCCCTCTGTGTATGTTTCCCCGGGTTTGGTTTGAGTCTGTTGCGTGCGCGTGCTGACGCCGTGTGACGACCGTGTCTGCCCGCAGTACCTGGGGGCCGACATGGAGGAGTTCCACGGCCGGACCCTGCACGACGACGACAGCTGCCAGGTGATCCCGGTGCTGCCGCAGGTGGCGATGATCCTCATCCCGGGGCAGACGCTGCCCCTGCAGCTCTTCAGCCCGCAGGAGGTCAGCATGGTGCGCAACCTGATCCAGAAGGACCGGACCTTCGCCGTGCTCGCGCACAGGTGAGCCTCCACGGCTCTAGAACCTTGCCTGTGAGGCCAGCCTGCGTGGGAGAGAAAGGGCCTTGGCATTCAATGTCAAGGGTGGCTTGTGCAAAAGGACGGCCGCTCTCAATTCCCAAGGTGTCCATTACGGGCCGGGTTAGCTGCAGCTGGATTCAGGTGTCCCGTGGCAGCTGCAGGAAGCGGGCGGTGGGGCGGGAAGGAGCCGTAGTCCCACCCCGGCGCGGTGTGCTGGCAAACACGCAGCAGGACTGAGGGCTGTGGGGCAGAGGAGCATTTGCTAGGGGCCGAAGGGGTCACCGTGAGCCCTGGTCGCGCTCCGGGACGGGAAGCCTGTTCTTTTCCTACGTGTGCTCCCGCTTACGTGGCGAGGCTGCCGCCTGTAGCCGCATCCCCGGTAGCATTCAAGTGGCTTTGCAGTGAGGGTCGATTCCTGTAAGTTGCTTTCCCGGGTGCATTGCTCTCGTCAGCTTTGCGTATTTAAAAATTAAATGTTCCAACGGTTTCCTTCTGAAATCTGCCTGGAAGCAACGCACAGGAGAGGGAGGCGCAGTTCGGAACCACCGCGGAGATCTACGCCTACCGGGAAGAGCAGGATTTTGGAATCGAGGTGGTGAAAGTGAAAGCGGTCGGGAGACAGAGGTTCAAGGTCCTGGAGCTGCGAACACAGTCGGATGGGTAAGAGCCGCCGCCCCTCAGAGCTAAGCAGACGTCTCCAAATGATGTGTGGTGTGCTTCTCGTATTTCTTTACTCCCCTCACCTTCCAACTCCCTAACCTCTGACTAGTTCTCTTTCCCTGGAAGCTGTGGCCAGTGGTTCCCAAGGTTGCTGTGCATCAGCCACCCAGGATGTTTGTAAAACTGCAGCAGGCCGAGCGCCTGCCTCATGCCCATCCTGGGAGCCCCTCCCCCAGGGCCCCCGGACGGAGCTCCCTGGAGGTCAGGGCAGTAGGCAGACCCACAGGGCAGTGCCATTGGGCATGGCTCTGGGCAGAGAAAGGGTGGAGCCCAGAGGCTCACAGGCCTTCTGACGTTGAGGAATTGTGGGTATTCTCTTTCACCAGTTACTTGGCTCAGCCCTTACAAGGAATCTAAACTCATTTAAAAATCCAGTCCACCTTAATTTATCCTTTTTAACACACACACGCACACACACACAAACACACAAACGTTCGTCCTGATCGCTGTGGGCATACCTCGTGGGCGTGGCCCGGACTCTGGCACAGGGGACTCCCTGTGGAGAAGGATGCAGGTTCTGGGTTCTGCCCAGGACACTCAGAGTGGACACGCACACTGTCACAGGACGTCTGTCTGTCTCCCTCGGGGGATGAGCTGCTCGAGGACAATGGCTGAGACTTTTGCGTCCATACTTAGGCCCAGACCTTTCGCCTGAGTGGGCGGAAGTGTGTCCCGAGGGCCCTGCCCTGAGCCCCTGAGCAAGCTGCTTGTCACGTGGATTGCACTAACACTCCATTCTCACAGTGCTTCCTGGCCTCATGTGCATAAAATATTTATTATTAGTGAGCACTGTTCCAGAAACTAATGGAAACTGATTGGGGGAGTGCATTTCTGAGCCTGTCTTGGTATCAGTGACTTTTGATTGTGGAAAAACCGTTTGAACACAAGGGGGCAGCAGACCATTAATTGTGACGCAGGTCAAGGCATAGCCACCTGAGGAGCACACAGCCGGGCTGGGCCAGCTGTGAGGGCATGGTCTCCCGGGTGGTGTCAGGCCCCCGCGGAGGCGCTTGTGGGGCGAGGCTGTCTGCGTGGGTGAGTGGCCGACACGGGACACGGCAGACCCTGAGCCTGGTACCCAGGGTTCTGAACTCCGTGCGGCGCTCAGTGTGCTGCTTGACCTGTCGGTGCACTGGCGCCTCCTCCCGGCAGAGCCTGCAGGCCCCCAAGCAGACGGCTCGGCACAGCCCTCCTGTGGGCGTCCTTCCCCGAAAGGGCCCGCAGCAAGGCCGTCTCAAGTAGCCTTCTGGAAATGGGGCTTTGCTGTCGTGAGAGTTGAAGTAATGTTTAAGTAAAAAAACATCATGTGTATTTTGATTCTTTGCACGTTCAAGTTAAACATTTGATGAGAAAAGAAATGCACACGGAAGTCAGGACTGCAAGTACTTCTCTGGTCTTTTCAACTCCTCCCCGGGCACGGGGTCTTGTTTTCCGCTCCTTTTTCTCCCCTCCTCAGGGTGGGTGATTGGAGGGAAAGGGGAGATGGGACGGCAGGTGTCTAATAAATTAATTTACAAGCATCAGGATATGCAACAGTAGTTGGTTTCGTGTTGATTTTTTAACTTGGCTTCATTTATAGACTGCATATTTACCTGTAATGTAACAATCTTCCTTTCCATTCCACCCTGAGATTGGAAATCTGTTCCTTAGGTTATCTTTGGTTTGAACTTTGGTATGATTTATGAGATATAGTATGTTTGAAAAACTTCTGTATCTTAACATCAGCATTTGATGAATGTTTTTTAAAAAAAAAAATTTTGAAAACCTTAGTATTGAAAATTAGCCTCATGTTTAGTTTGAGTTAGTTGACCTTAAAAGTGACCCCGTGCCTGGTCCTCGCTCCCAGAATCCAGCAGGCGAAGGTGCAGATCCTGCCCGAGTGCGTGCTGCCCTCCACCATGGCCGCCGTGCAGCTGGAGTCCCTCAACAAGTGCCGGATGGTGCCGGCCACGCCCGCCTCCCGGGAGGACCGCTCACACACGTGGTGGCAGAAGTACCAGAAGGTGAGGGCTGGTGTCCGCGCGTCTGCAGGAGACACAGGCGCGTGTCCTTTGGCTAAACCGTTCTTTCTCTGAGAAAAACAGCGGGTGAAGCCTGTTTCTACTCATTCGCGAGGTGCCTCCGTTCTGAGTAGAAATGGTATTTATGCTTTCTGCCTGCAGGAAAGATCGCTAGATTCTAAGTCAGAGTAAATTGGCTTTTGAGATGTACCTCTTAAAAGCCTGGGACGTTTGCGTTGTAACCTGATAAACCCTGCGTTGACCGTCCCTTACTGTGTCCAAGAGCGTAGTGAAGGTTTAACTTTGATGTAAATGCGTAGGATTGTTCATGAAGCGCCTCTGGCAGGGTCAGTGTGCACCACCCTCCTGTTCTTGGGGGTGAATGCACCCCATTTCACGACTCCCTTGCAGCTGGCGGGGGGGGGGGGAGGCATCGGCTCGTGACTGGTTCCTGGGGACGCGCTGACCTTGGGAGTCCGTGTCTCAGTCCGGTGTCTAGAAGATTCCTGTGGGAAGTTATCACTGGGAGGCTCCCAGATTCCCGCAGCCGCGAACGAGGTTCTGAAGGGTGGGCAGTGCTGACGCTGCAGGTTTGCAGGCAGCTGGCAGCCGGCAGCTGTGTGCCTCACGCCTGACTCGGCCCCTCACCCCCCTGGTTGGCTCTGGCAGGCAGGGCGATGGCAGGGTCACTTGAAGTTGCTGTGGGGAGCACACCCCGATGGGACATGGGCTCCTGGACGGGTTTGGGGAGCCGAGACCCTGCTCTCAGCTTTGGGGGCCCATGGCTTGTTCAGTTCACAAGGCCGGGGCGGCATCGAGGGGGGCCTGACCCAGGCCTGGCCTTAATCCGCTCCCAGGCACGGGGTCTCTTTGTTGTGTGGGATCACTACCAAGTGACTTCTTTCTGGTTTCAGAGAAAATTTCATTGTGCAAATCTGACCTCGTGGCCCCGCTGGCTGTATTCCTTGTATGACGCGGTAAGTGACTCACCTTCAGCTTCCTGCTTCTGGGTGAGCCGCGGCACACCCAAGGCCTTAGAAGAAAACATGGCTCGTACTCACCGTGTCGCACGCTCAGGCTGGGCCGTTCTCTGCATTTGAGAACAGGCAGGCGTCCGACTCCTGAAGAGGCTGTGCCTGTTGTGTGTAGGATTTTTGCTTTTCCTGGTTTCTTGTTTTTTTAAAAAAAATATATTTTTATTGATGTCAGAGAGGAAGGGAGAGGGGGAGAGAGAAGCATCAGTGATGAGAGAATCAGTGATCGGCTGCCTCCTGCACGCCCCACACTGGGGATTGAGCCTGTAACCCAGCCATGTGCTCTGACCAGGAATCGAACTGTGACCTCCTGGTTTGTAGGTCGATGCTCAACACTGAGCTACGGGCCGGGCCTTTCCTGGTTCCTTAGCCCTGGTAACCTCAGGACCAGAGACAGAGATGGTGTAGGGCAGGGATGGCGAACCTATGGCACGCGTGTCAGAGGTGACATGCAAACTCATTATTTTTGGTTGATTTTTCTTTGCTAAATGGCATTTAAATATATGAAATAAATATCAAAAATATAAGTCTTTGTTTTACTGTGGTTGCAAATATCAAAAAATTTCTATATGTGACACGGCACCAGAGTTAAGTTAGGGTTTTTCAAAATGCTGACACGCCGAGCTCAAAAGGTTCGCCATCACTGGTTTAGGGTTTATCAAGCCTTTGACATTTTGTTGGGTCACACGGTAGTTACACTTAGAAAATTAAAGAGTCCTTCAACAGTGTTTTGGACTTTTCTAAACAAGTATATTAACATGTATCTCCTGGTCCCTACTTGGTGTGCTCTCGGTCACATCCACAGTGGTTTTGCTTACGTTTAATGCCCAGCACCACTCCAACCCCCCGCTGATGCAAAACCCGGACAGGCTGTCAGAACAGGTAGAGGAATCAAGCGTGGTTTCTGTCCCTTTCTCTGAGGTTTGGGGCAGATCACTGGAGTGTGTGACATGGGCAGTGTGGCTGCTGCGCTTGGACCCAGTCCACACTCCACACGGTCACTGTTCCTGGGGGTCACGGTGCCCGCAAGTCCCACCTGGGGCTCCACAGTAGGTGCTGAGCTCTTAGCACCTGCACAGCCACGGAGGAGACCAGTTCACCACCAGCACCCAACACACGGGCTTTGTGCGCACACTGAGAAGGGGCGGGGAGCGCTCGCTCCTGCGCGTGGAAGTGCCTGCAGCTCACGGCCTCAATCCCGGGTGGAGGCAGGAAAGGCTTCCTGGGCAGGAGAGGAGGCTGGTGCCCCCGGAGCCCAGGGTGGCAGCTGCCAGGCCCAGCTGGGGCTTGGGTCATCCCCCAGGAGAAACGGACGCTGAGCTGGAACGCAGGTTTCACTAGCGAGGAGTGTGTGCGTTTTCTCGGAGCCGAGAAGAGGACAGTGATTGTAAATGCCTGAGCCTCATTAGGGCTCCTTTGTTTACAGGAAACGTTAATGGACAGAATCAAGCAGCAGCTGCGGGAATGGGACGAAAACCTGAAAGATGACTCTCTCCCTTCAAATCCAATAGGTAGGAAATGTTTATTGAACGGAACCAAACACATTCGGCTTCTTAACTAGTCTTTCTATCAGCTTCGAGAAGGACATACATTTCTTTTGCTTTGAGTCTTTAAAAACGAGTGCATTTAGGAAGTGGGATGACAGGTGAAGTGCTGGGAACCCCGTTTCCCACGGGCTCTCCCCAGCAGCCCAGGCTGCGCCTGCTCCGTCCCCTCCCCTGGAGGCGAGCTGGCTGACGGGACCCTGCTCGCGACCTGCACACGGCACCCTGTGCTCTGACGGGCGCTGTGTAGCCGTTTTCTGGTCTCTTAGCAAATAAACTCCTAACGCGTCAGACTTTGTGTCTAATCTAAAGAAGGCACTTAGAGGAGCGAGGCAGGAAGCTGCACCGTGCACCTCCCCGAGAGGACACGCGGGGCAGCCGGTCTGCTTTGGTGGCTGCAGGGGGGAAGTGTCCTCTGGGAACCCTAGAGGAGGATTTTAAGACACCGCTTCCCAAGTTTAACCCGGGAAAACCCGCCACGCCTCCAAGATTTTTCTTACAGAGTAGCTGCTTGTCTCCCCATCGATGACGTGCTGAGGATCCAGCTGCTGAAGATCGGCAGTGCTGTCCAGCGGCTGCGCTGCGAACTGGACATCATGAACAAGGTGGGCAAGCCCCCCAGCGCGAGGCAGCCGGGAGGCGTGGCTCTGGGGTCCCACCCGGCGCCTGCAGTGAGGACTGGAGGGGACAGCACAACCTGAGTATTTCCCTGGGGTCGTGGGAGCTCCAGCCGTTTGCCTTCCTGGGCCGTGGGCCCGTGTCCGCTCAGTGTGGACTCGGCACCTGTGGTGCCAGCCTCTCAGCCAGCAGGAGGGGTTAGGATGCACTCGGGCTCCTCAGGGGGTGTCTGTGACCTGTCATCGCGTCATCATGTGAGTGCGCTTTCCCACTAACCTCCTCTTATTTTCCAGTGTACGTCTCTGTGCTGTAAACAGTGTCAGGAAACAAAAATAACAACCAAAAATGAAATATTCAGGTGAGATATTTATTACGTTTTTAGTAAACTTCTGAGTACATTTTCCCAGCTGTCTTAACACAGTTATTGTCAAAACTATTTCCACCGCCCACACACTTCATCTCTAGTTCCTCAGCACGTGAACCGTGAGGGCCGGCGGCTCCCTCAGCCCCAGCGCAGGGACCAGCAGCGGAGAGGAGAGCGGACGTCTGCCTCATTCCCCGCTGGGATCTGTGTTCTAGGGCAGCAGTTCCCAGCATGGGGCACACGCCTCAGGGGGGCAGTTTGATTTTTAAATAGGCTATTTGAGAATGAGTTATTAACTGAATTTTTTTGCATCTCTTATGGTTCTAGGGCAGTAGTCGGCAAACTGCAGCTCGCAAGCCACATGTGGCTCTTTGGCCCCTTGAGTGTGGCTCTTCCACAAAATACCGACTTCTGTGCAGGGGCCATGACGCTTCAATCACACTGTACATGCGTGCCTGCACGTGGTATTTTGTGGAAGAGCCACACTCAACGGGCCGCAGTGTGCCAACCACTCGTCTAGGATATAGGAAGGACCTACCATGCCTCAGGCATCACAGTCTGTCCTGTTAAACATCGTTTTGCCACATTTAGCCCTGATCAAGCAGGGATACTCTGACCAGGCCGGTGCTGAGGGAGTGTTTGAACCGTTTATGCCACTTTCCTAACTGCTGTCTGCAGTGCCGGGCCAGCCGGGGAGATGCCCTGGCTGCACTGACTCCCACGCCGGGAGCAGAGCTGTGCCCTCACGGCGTTGTCTGCAGCAGGGCTGAGGCTAGCGCTGGTCCTCTGGCCAGCACGGAGAAGCGTAGGCTGGATAACCTGGGCGGGCTGCCAGCTCCTGTCACTCTAAAGCTCTGCTTTCATGTAAAGCTCACATGTCAGAAATCGTAGCTCTTGTAGGCTCGCTTCTTGGTCAGCCCGTAAGACGTCTGTCGGAATGAGGCTTCCCCCTCCCCATGTTGTGCTGACTGACCCTGTGCTTTCTGTTGCAGCTTGTCCCTGTGTGGGCCCATGGCGGCCTATGTGAACCCCCACGGGTACGTGCACGAGACGCTGACCGTGTACAAGGCCTCCAACCTGAACCTGATAGGCCGGCCGTCCACGCAGCACAGCTGGTTTCCTGGGTAATGTCCTGGGGACTTTTCCTTTTGGCTTTGCCGTAACTGGGCACAGAGATTTCTAAGTAGCGTTGCTACAGTTATAGCCCGAAGTAGACCATGGAATGAATGGTTCTCTCTCCACGCCCTTCACGCTGGGAGGGGCTGGTGCCTGGCCAGGGCTGTCCTTGCATCGGCTCCCTGATGTGGGGTGAGGAGGAGGTACGTGGCCCTGCGGGTGCCCTCAGGTTAACTGCACTGCCCGTCCCTGCCAGCCGGCAGCCTCCACCTGGGAGCCTGGGCGGGTCCCTCAGCCACATCCTCTTCAAGGGCCCGAGTGTCTCTTCTGCCACATCTGGGTCAGCCTTTCTCATTTGGACAAAATGAGCTGGGCAGGAATTAGTGGTCTTATTGTTATAATGGAGCTAGAACCATGGCAGTCGGCTTAACACCCTTTTCAGTCCAAGGACTAAAACTAGAATTAACGTGTTAACCTAAATTCTAAGCTTGGGAAGGCTCGGGTGAAAGGGCTGCGATTCCATGGTTTGGCGTGTCTTCCTGAAGGGCAGAAACACCGTGGCTTGTATTCTTTTTATATATGTTACTGATTTCAGAGAGGAAGGGAGGAGAAAGAGAAACACCAATGAGAGACTATCATTGACCGGATGCCTCCTGCACGCCCCACACTGGGGATGGAGCCCACAACCCGGGCCTGTGCCCTGACCGGGAATTGACCTGTGACCTCCTGGTTCATAGGTCAGTGCTCAACCACTGAGCCACGCCGGCTGGGCCTTGGCTAGTCTTTGACGGAGCCTTCCTATTTCAGGAGGTTCAGTTTCATGAGAACTGCCCACCTGAGAGCACTCCCCTTGGGGCAGCTGCCGCGAGGCGGTCACCTGTGTGGTCACACAGGAGCTGGACCACGTGCCCCGCAGGAACTCTGGGTGAGGGGCGTGCAGACCAGAGCTCTGTGTTCTCCCTGATGCTGAGAATAGGGCCCTAGGGCGTCTCTCCCTAAGCTGGAGGCACAGAGACGGCCACTCGCTGACCTTCCCTCCGCCCTTCCCGCTGCAGGTTTGCCTGGACGGTCGCCCAGTGCAGGGTCTGTGCCAGCCACATCGGATGGAAATTCACAGCCACCAAAAAGGACATGTTACCTCAGAAATTTTGGGGTTTGACTCGCTCTGCTCTGCTGCCCACAATCCCGGACACCGAGGACGAGCTGAGCCCTGAGAAAGTCGTGCTCTGCTTGTAAACATGGTAGGGCCCCAGGCACTTCGCAAGCTGTGGCCCAGGCAGTCCCCTGCGGGAACGCCCCTACTGGCTCCCAGCACAGCGACCCGGGAGGGGCGGCCTCAGCCGCAGGGCTTCGGAGGTTTAGCCTCAACTGCCCCGTGGGCGAGGGAGAGCCACCAGGACACTTGGTTTCCAGGAACGCCCACCTCCACAGGGTGTGCCAGGGCCCTGTGCAACCTGGGTCAGGCAGCTCGTCACGGAGAGACCGTCCCGCACAGAGCACGTGATACTGCTGGAGGGCGGCCCTGTGAGGCCGCGCGCAGAGCGGCGTGGGGTCCGTGCTCCTGAGGGCCACGCTCAGGCACCTGGTCCCAGCTGAGGGGCGAGGCAGTGGGTGGGGCTTCAGAGCCCTTTACAGGCCTGTGTTCCTCTCACCTTCTCGTGTCTCTGATCCTGGTTTGTAAATATTAGAGTTGAAAGAGGCAGCTTGAGCCCCAAAATACAGGTTTCATTTTTTGCGTGTTTGTTAGTAAAAACCCAGTATTGTGTGCATTTGCTCAGTGTCTGAACTGTGACACCGCTGGTTCTGCTCCCAGTGCAATCGGGACCTCGACCAGACACCATAGGAGCAGATGCTCACGTGCGTCCCCTCCGGGAGGCCAGACGCTGTCTTAGGCTGTTTTGTTCAGGGTCAATTGAAAAAAACCTCTAAGTAAATTTAAGAGCAAAACTAAAACATGTTCTCTGTTTAAGTGATGTGAAGCGCCTACGCGAGCAGATGGCGTAGGTGTAAGAAGTAACGGAGACGACATTCTCGCTACGCTGTTCGCCACTACCTCTGCTTGTACACGGGGGCTCACTGGGTGTCTCCCATTGGTGTGAGCTGTGGTGGTCTTGCTAGTCCTTTGCTGCTTCACCGAATTCACTGGGGAAAGTTCAACTAAGGGTAAAACGTGAGGCCAAAACCGACTTGTCTTTTACCAAACGTGCACCGTGCGGACTGCCTCGCCCACAGACGCCAGCGACCACCCTGCACGTGCCACCTCGTTCCAAACTCCACTGTTGTCCCCACCCTTTCCTGTGGCCCCGATGACCGCCAGGACCGGTGTCTGCCCGTCGCTCTGCACACCGTGCTGAGGCTAAACCAGTGAGGGCGGGACACGGCTGTGACACCTGCCCCTGAAGGTGTCATCTCAGAATGTTCCATGTTGCTCACTGACACTTGCAAATAAAATTCTAATTAAAGTAAACACGTGCAGGTCCTACTTTAAAGTGTGTGATACGTGAGGAACCCAGACGTGAAGCCGCTAAGCCTGCACACTTTCCCCTGGGATGCAGGGATGCCATGCGGTGGGTCCTGAGTGTGTCAGCGAGTGCTTCCCAACACCTGCACCCACAGACCTGGTCTGGGCTCCCTCCCACAGGAGCCCCGTTACACCAAAGGTTTCCACACCTCCTCTTAGCCGGGCTTTACAGAAGCATGGCTATTGCCAGTACAAAGATGCTCTGAGTGGCTACACAGAAAGGAAAACCAGTTATAAAATGTCAGGGTACAGCTAAAGCCTACACAGGTTAAGATGGGCAAGGCAACTAGCCTTCTCTCAGTGGGAACTGTGCCAGGAGAGCGCCAGTTCAGGGCTGTGAGACAGCAGCGGGCACTCCTGTGACACGGGGACCGTGGGAGGCCACGTGCAGAGTGGCACATGCCGTGCTCCCGAGGGGAGGCAGCCTTCACCTCGTGTCTGAAGTACGCGACTCGCAGAGTGTAAAAGGCTTTATTCTCTGAAGAAGCCTCGGCCGCCTTCAGCTGCTCCTCGAGTCTCCCAAGCCTCCCCAGGGCAGCGGCGCGAGCGGCTTACCGAGACGTCCTGCTGGTGGCGGCTCCCACGGCCTCAGCTCTTCTTTATGTGACTCAGCAGCTCGTCCTTCTCCATCTGGTAACCGCTCTTCTTCCACTGGTCCCGCAGCTGCTGCAGCAGCGCCCCGATTTCCTTCCCGGAGGAGATGCCCGCCTTCCTGATGTCGTGGCCGCTGACGGGGAAGGAGGGCACGGACCACTGCTGCAGGTCCCGCAGGAGGTCGGGCTGGCCCTGGTACTTCAGCAGCTCCCAGACGCGGGCGGCGGCGTCGGGCTCCCTGGACTGAGGGCCAGCATCACACAGTACCACACACATTAGAAAGCATGCTAAAGGCCCCCGCCTAGAGTTACATACATGCTCAGTGGGAAACTCTCAGTTAAAATACATGAAGTCCACAGAACATGTTGTGGGTCTTCGTGTTAAGTTAACTTTGTTCAGCCACTGTGGCTCAGTGGTTGAGTGTCAACCTATGAACCAGGAGGGCAGGGTTCGATTCCTGGTCAGGGCACATGCCCGGGTTGTGCACTTGATCCCCAGTGTGGGGCGTGCAGGAGGCAGCCAATCAGTGATTCTCATCACTGATGCTTCTATCGCTCCCTCTCCCTTCCACTTGGAAATCAATAAAAATATATTAAAAAAACAAAAAGTTAGCTTTACTATTAGGACGGACTGCACTGACCACGACTGGCATGTACTTACGTCTATAATGAAGTCCTGGTAGGGCTTCAGTGGTTCGGCGCTATCCGTTGCTTTAGTTAAGTCGTTCCTGTATTTAACTAGAAACAAGCCAAGGTTTTTCTCTTCTTTGGAAATCTTCAACCTCAAATCCAATTTTGTGACATCATCCTGCACTTTGAATAACGAGGCCAAGAGCGTCATTGGCTTTGGTGAAAGTCCTTCAACATTTCTACTGACTTTGTCAAACTCTTCCAAACTCGCATTAGCAGGTAAACCTGTCGGGACAGGAGCACTTTTCACTCGTCTGTACAGTGGTTACATTTAGTGAACGACACCCACACGCTACACCAGCCACTGCTTTGTAGGCAGAAACGCCCGTGGCCAGGGCTCAGTGTTGGTCCAATCTGGTGCCCTCCACCCACAGGGACTAGTGATGGCTGCTGGCCTCACCCCCGTGCCCAGCACACCGAGGGGAGCTGTGAAGCGTCTGTGTCCAGTAACTGGCTGAGCTGGGGGCAGAGATGGTGATCAGGCCCGAGGGACACAACCCAATGCAAACTCCTGGCCACTCACTGACGTGCGACCACAGGACACCCACTCCTTCAGCCCTGGCGGGGCTGGGCTGGTTGGAGCATCACCCGTGCACCAAAAGGACACGAGTTCAATTCCTCCTCGAGCATGTATGGGAGACAACAGACCAATGTTTCTCTCTCAAAAAACCTTAGACACAGGTGACGATTTAATAAAAGAGCATCCATCTGCTCCAACAACTGTCTGTATTCGAACTATCCAAGTTTCCCCACACAAGATGCACAGATAACCCGTTCTTTCTGAATGTAAATTATAAGTTACTAAGAAGTTGCTCTGCCTGCCTCTCTGAGTGCCTTGCATGTGTTAACTCACCAAACCAGCCTCATTAGAAAGAGGCTGTTACTTTCATCCCCAGGTTTAGATTCAGAAACTAACAGTCGAGGAACTAACCCGCGTCACAGAGCCGACAAGTGGCAAAGGCTCATTCAAACCCCGGTCTGGCCGCAGAGGCCACTGTCCCACTAGCCTACGCTGTGTCTGAGCTGTGTCCCCCACCCATGACAAAACTCTCCTACCTCATCCTCAAAGTTTATTTTAAAATATCCCACTGCTTCTTTGAGGATTCTTCACCTGAACTAAACACATGCCCTTACAGAATGCTGAGCCAGCGTTCCGCCCCCTCAGTGCAGGCACGTGCGGCCGGCCTCACCTATGTAGGGAGCCACGTCCAGGTCGTAGATGAGGTGAACCAAATGACTGACGTGATTTCCAACCAGAATCTTCTTCAGTTCCACCCAAATCCTCTCTCCTGATATTCCGCCCAGGCCTTTGGCATTTTCTGCAATTGCTTCCAAAGTCTCAGGGTCATGGTCACCAGGTTTGTCTACAATCCTCCCATAAAACCTACAAAACAGAATTCTCAGTGTATCCCACTGTCGGCACACCAACCAGGAAGCTGTTTCCAACCTCCCGGCACCTTCCCCACCTAGTGAATCACAAACACACAACCACCTAGGGTCTGTTCTCTACCTTCTCTTTTTTCTACATGAGAAACCCAAAAGCCAATAAAATACGAGTAACTTCTTAAAGCTGGCAAGAACCAGGCCGCCCGCCTCACTCACTCCTGTCACCGAGGGAGCTGAGCTGGGACAGGGGAGGACTGAAAAGGGCGTCCTTGTCCAGGCGCACAAACAAGGCCGAATGCAGCCTGAGCACCCCAGCCCGAACGCTGGCCTGTCACATCGGGAATGAATGATGTTTCCAATGTGACGTGCCTGTCCCTGACACTGGAGTGTTTCACAGCATCTCAGAACTGACCTCAAACCACACCCGTTCACCCATTCACCCTTGGCTATGTCTCCCCTGGAGACTCACTTGGGATGTCACCGCTTCGTGCACTGACTACTGTACATGTCATGGTCAGAACTGTATTCTGGTAATAACTATCGATTTTAAAAATTCTTACCTGAAATATCTTAAAATTCTAAGATAATCTTCTTGTATCCTCTTTTTAGCATGCCCAACAAATCGCACTTTCTTATTTTTTAAGTCTTCATAACCATTGAAGTAGTCATATAAAGTACCATCAAAGCCTGTTCGTCGGGAAAGGGGAGGAAAGTGACAGCTCAGAACCGGGAAGCAATGTGGCAGATCCACAAACGGAGTACCACTCAGCCGTGAAGAGGGATCAAACCTGCCACCTGGGATGTGGGCGGCCCTGCGGGCACTAGGCTAAGGGAGTAAGTCAGACAGAGCCCATGGCAGTGCCCTTGCTTCACAGCCGGCGGGCGGCAGTCGAATGCAGCCACTGGGCCCCGTCTCTGAGGCAGCCGTGCGGGCGTGGGCTGCAGAGCGGGCCAGGAACCAGGGTTCCCATGGCGGGCACACCAAGGACCGAGGTGAACACGCATGCCCACGTTACCCAGGAACATCGAGTTGACAGTGAGGTCTCGGCGCTCGGCGTCCTGCTGCCAGTCCGTCGTGAACTCCACCTCCGCGTGTCTTCCGTCCGTGACCACGTCAATCCGCAGGGTGGTGATCTCAAAGTTTTCGTTCTGCAGCTGTAATTACACGGTTTTCAGAAATGAGGCGTCAGGTTCACCGACGGGTTGGAAACAAGGGCGAGTCCTGACAGGAGGCAGTTCTTCCTTCTCAGTCGGCTGGCGCACAGGCACCCCGACACAGAAAGGCACCCAGGACAGCACAGACGGAGCCACAGGCTATTTTCCTAAAAGATGAGTCTGATACAAAAACGGCCACTGGGACAAGGGATGTGACAGGGGGAGAAGCCCTTACAACAGTGGATCCCGCTGCTTCTGTTTCAAGCCAGGCTGCTCTCTGAAACCTTCCTGACGGACCCCGTGTGCAGAGAGCTGTGTCAGTTACAGACTGTAACCAGTGAGCGAAGGGCTGACAGAGGAGAAACGGGGAGCGCAGCGGGCAGCTGCTCGCCCCTCACCCAGGAGGCTGCTGGGAGGCCTCCGTCCACCTTGGCTGGAGGGACCGTCTGCAGCGGTGAGAAGCCGAGTAGCTTCGTGACCGTGGCCTGCGCTGAGCCGTGAGAACTCAGCAGGGCCTGCGCACAGACGTGCACGAGTGAGAGGAGAGACGGCTGCAGTGCAGTGAGGAAGGGGCGGACGGAGAGGCACCTGCCACGGAGCAGACATGGCGGGGGAGCAGCAGGGAGCACATGGGGCAGGTGAGCAGCGCAGCGTCTCACATGCACACGGGCGCCTGGAATCTCCGCACAGGAACTGGGAGCCAAGCGAGCACTCCACGGCAGTTCTGGAATTCCTGTCTCACCCACTCTTCCCTAGGGACCAGCTGGTCTCACTCAGAATTCCAGAACGCAGGAGTCTGAGGCACAGGGAAGCGGCAAGGAAAGGGTTTGAGATGTGAAGGCTCTTTGAGACCTGCTGTAAACACAGGCTCCCAGGACGCCCCCCTCACCAGAGCAGTTAGCCCGCTGGAAAGGCCGAGCAGGAGCAGACACATCTTGGACGGCAGACGGAGAGGATCATGGGAGTGATCACCACGATGAAAACAAGATGAAGTGAAAAAAGTGACCAGGACCTGCACCCCTTCCCCCCCTTGGTTTTTAAAACGCCAGACAGCAGGGCTCTGCAGACTTCCCCCAAAGACACGCCCTACCCATAGCGACGTGGGTCCAGAGACATAAACCCTCCAGGTATTTCACAAACCCCAGACGACACCCAACGCCAGGGGAGGGCCCAGGACTCCCCATTTAAGTCAAAGGAAAGACAGAAACCGCTCAGAGGAGGGGAAGACACTGTCTACACGCTGCCCTAAGGGAAATAAGACAGCAGGAAGCTTTCAAAAGAAATTTTCTAGAAAAGACCATCAGGAACTTGACAAGACAACAAAATTTGCAAAAAGAATAGAAAGACTGGGTGGTCCAGTTATGGCGACCCGTGGAAAGCAAAGGGAGAGGTATGAGAATATAACAGAGGAGACCAAAGGCAAAACTAGGTTCGTCCCCGTGGTCCATGCCCAGCGTCACAGGAGTTTCCGGGGAGACAGTGAAGCAGGGTGAAGTGAGGAGGATGCGGGAGGCCCAGCTGAGGCGCTGTATGGTCCAAATGCAACGCGAGGCCCGTCAGCTTGAGAGTGAAAACACCAGGGAGGGAAAGACCACAAAGGCTTCCGGAAGGAAGCACCCTCAGGCGCCGTGAAGGAGAGGTGCGCCGGCAGAGATTTCTCCGGAGGCTCCGGGAAGGGCCGCCCCAGTCCCGAGTGAGGACTCCCCGCTCTAAGTCCACAGCTAACACAACCATCAGACCAGAGTGAGGGCGCCAGCAAGTAGGAACGCCAGGCGTCCAGGACACAGGCCGTGGAAGAGGGAGAGGAGGTTCCCAGGGCTGGCGCAGGGGAGCTGGCGCAGGGGAGATGGTGCAGGGGAGCTGGGGCAGCGGCGGGCGGCCCGGACCGTCCAGGTGAGGGCCCAGAACAAGGACTGAAGCTTGGTCGCTGGATTGCACTGAGAGAAAGGACCCTGGCAGTGTGACAGCCCAGGACAAATCGGGGCGCGCACACACGGACAGCGATGACCAAGAAAAATGCGGTTAACTGCAAGCACCATAAAGTCACGTGACACCAGAAATGTGGTCACAACAGGCCTGCGATGCGGCTGTGCACAGGCCACAGGGGGGCACGGGACGCTGACTTAACCCAGCACCAAGGACGATGCCCTGAGAAACCGCCACGGCTGGTGTGGCGCATCCCCTCCCTCCCTAGTTGGACCTCAAGTCAACAGATTCCGCCTGAAAACTGGGAAATCAACATGAAACACCAGGGCACAGAAAGGTGTTCGGGAACCTGCAGGCAGCGGGTAAGTGCGGAAGGAGCCCTGGGAAGGAGCGTTGAGGGGAGGGAGGGGAGGGGGGGGAGGGGAGGGAGGGGAGGGGAGCGGGAAGGCTGTCTCCCAGGAGCCTGGGTGGTTTGCTGGTCATCACTAGGAAATGTAAGCTGGGAAGTCAGGACCGGGCAGCGCGGTGGCTGCCGGCGCCCCTCACCCTGGCTGTGACGGTCCCGTGCTTCTCCCCCTTGTTGTTGATCATGCGGACGCCAGCCGCCTGGAACAGCCCCTTCATCTGCTCGGGCGTGGCGGTGGTGGCGAAGTCCACGTCCTGCGGCTTCACGCCGGACAGCAGGTCCCGCACGGCGCCGCCTGCTATCCGCAGCTCGTGGTTTTCTTTGGCAAATAACTCTGATGAGAAAGATATTTTTATTTCAAGGTGCTTCCCCGAAGGACCCGGGGGTACGTGGTTTTCCAGCCTGTGAGATCCAGCGGGACCCCCGCCCCAGCACCTCCTGTGGGCGTCGGAGGACAGGCCCACAGGAAGGGAGGGCCTCAGTGAACGACCCTCCCAGAGCCACTCCACTAGGGACGCTCTCCTGATGGTCAGTTCCGTGATGGTAGTCGAAGCTGCAGGGAGAGGCTATCTTTACGTCCTGATCACATGAGAGGTTCCCGCTCCCCGCTGCAGGCCGACGCCCGTCTCAGCGCACACAAGCTTGGCGCACACGGGCACGGAACTGTGGTGGCCGAGCTTTACAGAAAGAGGGGCTTCATGGAGAGTATATTTTTAAAAAGGTTTCTTCCTCTGAGGCAGGTATGTGGCAGGACTGTGATCGATGAAAACTACAGAAACCGTCACGGAAGCCCACCCCACCAGACTAAGGCTTAGACCCTGCACAAGGCCTGGGGGCCCAAGCGGCTCATCTCACCGGCATCACCCCTCGCCCCGTTAGCAGCCGCACGAGGCGCCTGGCCACAAGATTGGCAAGGGAAGCCCGTAGCCGATCCCCTGAGAAGTCTCCACCCGCACCCTGAAAACCGGTTAAATGAGCCCGTAAGGGAGTCAGCCCACTGGGCGGGGCTGCGGCCTGGAGGCCCCGCTGCTCCGGCTTCGCTCATAACCTCTCCCACTTCTACACTCTGGCTCCGCTCTGAATTCTTTCCTGCCCAAGCCAGGAACCCACAGCGGGCCATGCACCCGGGAATGCCTGTTCATCTCCAAATTTAAAAAACAACCACCAATATCTAAGCAACTTTTGGCAAAACCTGCAAAAATGGGCACGTTTAAGCGAGTGGCCGACCCTGTACCGTATGCAAGTACTTGGCACACAGAAAAAACACGCTTTGTGCTGGTCACGTCTTGCCTCTTGTGATTTCGCTATCACTTGGAATTACCTTTCTTTCCCTGGCCCAAAGCAAAAGCCGGCAATTCGGCCGGAACACGAACCGTGAACCGTCTGCTTCTTGGTGTACACAGGCCACCCGCCCCCGCCCCCCCCAACCTCCCCGCCGCTCCGCTCCCCCCCGCCCGCACCGCTCCCTCCCCCGCCCCCCAGGCTCCCCTCTCCCCCGCCCCCCCCACAGCCTCCCCCGCCGCTCCGCCCCCCCCCCCCCACTCCCCCGCGCCCTGCACAGGCTTCCAGCAAAAGGCAGCAGCCCCTCACCCGTGAGGCTCCTCAGCCCCTCCGTGAACAGCGACTGGAACTCGGGAGACTGCACCTTCATTGTGAACAGATGCCGCTGCAGGAGGCGCAGTCCGGCCCGGCCACCGCTCAGCCGCCAGGGGTGCAGGCACCTCAGCATCTGCCACACAAATGCGCGCGCAGGGACGGAATTTGAGAATTTGAAAGTGGCGGGAACGGAGGGGCACCTGCCATTTTATTTACCGACCGAGAGACGGTCGTCTCCTGTGCGGGTGGGAAACTGAAGGCACCCGTGGGAGGCAGGTCCCAGGGTCTCCGGAGCGGGGACCAGGCTCCCAGCGGCCCTCCCGGTCCCAGGCCTCCGAGGGGCGGGCCGCGGGGCACAGCGGGACAGGCTCGCAGGGACACTGGGTGTCCGGTGCCTGCCAGCCTCGCCCCCGCCCCGACATTCTGGCCGTGGGGCGTCCCGGGCCTCGTGAAGCAGGTGAGTCCCGGGACGGCCGCCCTCTCCCCTTTCCTGCCGGCCCTGACGCCCCCGTCCCCCGCCCCGCTCGCCGTCAGCACAGCGGCGATGCGGACACGGGCGAGAAGCGCTCCCCTGGGGGGAAAGCAGGTGTCCGGGCGCTCCCACCAGAAACGCGCCAGCGCGCTACCCAGCCCACGGCAGGCCGGCGCCCCCCGCGCCTCCACTCGGAAATCCCGCGGGGCCGGACCCCAAGGCCGCGCCCCCACACCGGGCGCCGGTCTGAAGGGCTCAGCGAGACCTTGGGGGTCCGGCCGCGCGGCACGGAGGGGCCCAGGGACGCCTGGCACCTCCGTCGGGTCCGGCGCCAGGGCGGGCGAGGGTCTGGCCACCCGGCCCGCGGGTCCCGGAACTGGCCCCGCGCGTGAAGGGCCCACCGCCCTCTTCCCGCCGCGCGCGCCCCACCCACTCACCCGGCCCGCCGCCGACTTAGCCCCACACGCACTTCCGGATGGTGGCGCCGTGACGTCACTCTCTCGCGCCGATCGGTGGCCAATGAAAAGTGCCGAGAGCGTGGGCGGGGTCCGAGGCAGCGTATGGGCGGGGCCTGGGCGGGGTCCGAGGCGACGCGAGGGCGGGGCCTGGGCGGGCTCCGAGGCAACGCGGGGGCGGGGCCTGGGCGGGCTCCGAGGCAACGCGGGGGCGGGGCCTGGGCGGGCTCCGAAGCAACGCGGGGGCGGGGCCTGGGCAGACTCCCCGCCCCCTGGGGGCCCCGCGGGACTGGCGCGGGCTGTTTCTGTCTTGTCTCCGCACAGCTCTCGCTCGCCCCCAGGCGGTCAGATGCGCGTCTGCACTGCGCACCTGCGTGACACTGGTTTCCTCCGTAAGACGTGGCTGCGGACACCTCCCGAGGTTTATGACCGCTCGGCAAATGCTACCCGCTGCTTTTGCCGGCTCCCCGACTCGCGCTGGACTCCTGACCATGCTGGACCCTAAGCTGTGCACAGGAAGAACAACACTTTTAATCATCGGAATCGAAGACACAGCGTCAAGACCTAGGCCGAGTGTCCAAGACGCACTCCCTCTAAGGGGCCGCCCTCCAGTCCTGGGCGTTACTGGGCGTCTTTCACGGTCCCGCCTGGCCTGTGCAGCCCTTGCCTTGCCTGGTCTGCGAGCTTTTGCTGCTGTCAGTGAAGAGCTTGCATTTGGCTCCTTCGTTCACCTTTTCCAAAGCAGGGAGCAGTGCGAGGGCGGCGAAGGAGTGGGGGTACAGCCCTCGCTCCCTAACGTGGGCAACGGCCACGCAGTGCTTGCGAGGGATTCTACCAGTTACCTTAACAAATACATGAAATCCGCATCTTACAGTGTCTTAATGTTTTAAAGTGGAGCCTTTTCAGTATAACTTAATTACTTAATTTCTCTAAAAATTTCCTTAAAATGTGTGTGCCATCATATTTCTGTGGCTTCCAGCGATCAGATGTGTCTTTAAGGGGTTAAGTATCCGATTTCAAGAGGCACAGGACTAGCTTTCCCAGTTGCCATACAGAGACACAGCACTGATTCAGTGCAACTTTTTTTAGAAAATATATTTTATTGACTTTTACAGAGAGGAAGGAAGAGGGATAGAGAGAAACATCCATCAGCTGCCTCCTGCACACCCCCCCTGGGGATGTGCCCACAACCAAGGTACATGCCCTTGACCAGACTCGAACCTGGGACCTTTCAGTCCATAGGCCAACGCCCTATCCATTGAGCCAAACTGGTTAGGGCTGATTCAGTGCAACTTCTTCACACAGTAACGAATGCAATATCCCAGCTAGACTGACCAAGAAAAAAAAAAGATACCTGAGCCCTAGCCAGTTTGGCTCAGTGGATAGAGCGTCAGCCTGTGGACTCAAGGGTCCCAGGTTCGATTCCAGTCAAGGGCATGTACCTTGGTTGTGGGCACATCCCCAGTGGGGGGTGTGCAGGAGGCAGCTGATGGGTGTTTCTCTCTCATCGATGTTTCTAACTCTCTATCCCTCTCCCTTCCTCTCTGTAAAAAATCAATACAATACTTTTTTAAAAAAAGATACCTGAGTGCCGATATTAACAGGATAAAAGGGGACAATTTTACAACAACCAATTTGACACTGTAGACGGGATGGACAAATTCTTTGAAAAATGCAACTTATCAGAACTGAAACAAGATGAAATTTTAAAATGTGAACAGCCCTTTATTATTAAAGAAATTAAATTTTGTTCAACAGAGTTCCCACAAAGATAATTCCAAGCCCAGATGGTTTCAGTGGTCAAGTTTATCAACCACTTCAGGAAGAAATAACACCAATCTTGCACAATTTTTGTTCAGAAAATAGAAGAGGGAACACATTTCCTCTCATAACACTGATTACAACCCCGAAATACGTATTATCAAAAAAAATGTACAGATCAATATCCACACATAGACACGAACATTTTAAATAGCAAGTTCGATTCCTGTCAAGGGCCTCCATTGCAGGCTCGGCCCCTGGCCCTGGTCTGGTCACCTATGGGAAGCAACTAATCGATGTGTATTTCTCACATTGATGTTTCTCTCTCTCTCTTCCCCCCTCCCTTCCTCCTTCCCTCCCTCCCTTTTAATCATCCTAAAAATCAATGGAAAAATATCCTCTGATGATGATTAACAATATATATATATACATATATATATTAGCAAATTGAGTCCACATTGACGAGTCAGAAATCCTACAAGCGCCACTGAGGTATTTATTATTCCAGTGAGGAAACAGGCACGGCGAGGTCACCCACGTCGGAAGCCGGGCCAGCAGAACTGAAACCCAGACATTCTGACTCAAACCACTGCTGTCCAGAGCTGAGGCTGGAGAGGCAGGGACCAGCTCATGCAGGGCTGGATGTGGCATAGGATGACATTTGCATTTTACTAATATTTTAAAAATATATATTTTACTGATTTCAGAGAGGAAGGGAGAGAGAGAGAAACATCAATGAGGAGAGAGAATCATGGATCGGCTGCCCCTGCACGCCCCGCACTGGGGATGGAGCCTGCAACCCGGCATGTGCCCTGACTGGGAATCCAACCGTGACCTCCTGGTTCACAGGGCCACGCTCCCCCCTGAGCCCCGCCGGCCGGGCTGCCTTTTATTTTAATGGTAATGCAGAGGCGGCCAGGGTTTCTCAGTGGGGTTTCCATAAAGCCATTTGCGTCTCCTGCCCTTAGTCTGGCGGCAGGTGAGGGGGTAGGAGGGGCCAGGTGCATGGATTTGCCATCTCACAGCTGCAGGCTCTTGGGGAGCAGCTGTTTTCTGTCTTTTCCGGCTTCTAAGGTTCCCTTCCTCTCCACTCCGTGGCGTGACCCAGAATCATCCTCCCACGAAGGATCCTCACCTCAGCCACCGCCTGGAGATGTGCCCACGGGCTCCGGGAAGTTGGGGGCCACGACCCAGCTGCTCCCCCCAGGAGCCTGCTTTCATGACTGGGGGAGGGGAGACAGGAACGCCAAGGAGTGTGGTCACAGAACAAGCCGGTCCACGTGGCACATCCACCCACGACCTGGGTGCATTCCTTTGTGAGCCCCTCACCCCTGAGGGCTCACCTCACCGCCAGGACCTCCCTCCTGGAGCCCGAGTCATAACCTGTCCTGAATCCATGGCTGCTCCCAGCCGCCCAGGCACTCTTAAAGCAGGACCGAGAAAGGAGAATAATGCTGACAAGAAAGACAGGAGCCCTAACTGGTTTGGCTCAGTGGATAGAGCATCAGCCTGCGGACTCAAGGGTCTCAGGTTCGATTCCTGTCGAGGGCATGTACCTTGGTTGCGGGCACATCCCCAGTCCGGGGGGGGGGGGGGGGTGCAGGAGGCAGCTGATGGATGTTTCTCTCTCATCGATGTTTCTAACTCTCTATCCCTCTCCCTTCCTCTCTGTAAAAAATCAATAAAATATATTAAAAAAAGAAAGACAGGAATTCGTAAGGATAGCACAGGCGGCCCCCTGGGGATAAAGGAGCCTGGTGTAAAAATAGAATACACAGCCCAGCCCGCCGGTGTGAGGCGGTGTGCTGACAAGACAGGCGGAAACAGAGGCCCTCCTCGCAGTAGCCTGCAGATCTGGGGTGTCGGTGGGGGCAGGGTCCTTGAACCCCCACCCCCCTGTCCCTGTCCTTTGTAAGCGAGAGGAGTGCTCTGTCTGAAAGAACTGGTCCTGTTTCGAGAACCTGTTCTTCCTCTGAAACAACAAGAAGCATTTGTTCGGGGAAAAGCCATTCTCCCGTGTTGACCTCATCAACCTTCACTAGGGGCCTAGCCTGTGGGACCCCAGAGGACACCCGCGGTGCCTCTCAGCAAGGCAGGCCCCTGTCCCCCGCACTGGTCCTGGGGGTTTCACACACAAATGCAATTGTGGTTTACATTTCATTTCCGAGAGGTGAGGGAACAGACAGAGCCATTGGAGCTCTGGAATTCCTGGCTGGGCCATTCATTCTGAAAGATGAGGCTTCAATCATAGTCGGAAGAACAGAGGCCCCAGGGTAGAGACGGAGCAGGCACTTCCTGGGCTGGCTTAGCAGCCGCTGCAGATGGGAACCATGAGGGGGTGCCCCTGCTCCCCGTGGAGGCCTCCCCCGAGGGGCTCACCTGCAGACACAGGTGCGCGCGGAATTCCCCATCCGAACAACACGACCCCTGTTCTGCCCTGAAACCCCATCGTCCGACAAAACCAGGCTGGACACAGAGGTAAACGCGATGTTTGGTCTGACGTAAAAATAAAACGCGCAGCCCGGCCGGCGTGCGTGGCTCGGTGGCTGAGCATCGACCTATGAACCTGGGGATCAAGGTTCGATTCCCCGTGAGGGCACCTGCCCAGGGTTATGGGCGTCATCCCCAAGAGGGAGCGAGCAGGAGGCAGCCGATTTCTCTCTCTCCCTCTTTCTTCCTCCACGAACCCAATAACAACGAAATAAAAATAAAGCAGACGAATGAATGAGGGATGCTTGAGTGAACCTGAGCCCCGCTGAGACGAGCCCAGCCACGGTTAGCCGGAGCCCAGCCACAGCTCAGCCCCGCGAGGGGAGGAAGGCTTATCACGGTCCCGCCACGGTGCTGCGGCGGCTGGTTGTGGGGCAATCGCTGGCGAATACCCCAACCACCCAGCGATAACCGCTGCTCGCTGTGGGGTCGTCCGGTGAAAGTGAGATTAGGAAGGCCCAGCCGGCGGGGCTCGGTGGCTGAGCATCGACCTGGGGGCCAGGAGGTCACAGTTCGATGCCAGCTTGGGGCACAAGCCTGATTTGCATGTTGTAGGGTCTGTCGCTCCCTCTCCTTCCTCTCTGAAGTCAGTAAAAAATACATTTTAAACATGAGGTTATGAAAATACGACACGTGTATCTTTGGACTCTGTTGTTACTTCACGTTTCCCCATCACAGCCGGTGATCTGAAGTTACTGATACACACGCCTGTCATCGCCCGCACATTCAAACCTGGAAGCCATGCATGTCTCCGTGAGTTTGCTCTTCCAGGTGAACGCACAGTGGCTTTCGCTCCCCTCCCCCTCGCTCACACCTGGGCCCGCCCTCACCTATTTCCCCAGCGAAGGCCTCCGGAAGCTTCCTGATCCGACCTCCGTGACCCTGCGCAGACTTCCATCTGCGGGACACAGCGGGCCCGGCGGCTTCGCTTCCTAAGACGCAGGTCAGCCTGGATTTCACGGCGTGGAAAGCCCTTCTGTCGTCCTGCCAGCACGTCCCCAACTGTCCTCGGACGTTTATAGTTTCTTCTGCAGAGGAAACTGCTGCCACATGAAGGCACCACCCAGAGCCCAGCTCTCCTTTGCTCTGCGCACGTGGGCCGAGGGCGGGGAGACATGGCGAGGACCTGGCTTTGGACCCCGGGTCGGGCGTGGGGCTGGTGTCCTCCCTCCCCGTCCAGGGCCCGGCTGGTGCGCCAGTGCTGCCCACCAGCGCGCTGAGCGAACGGATGCAGGAGGCAGAGAGGAAGGCAGGCAGCTCCCAGGCCAGAACCGTTGCCCTCAGGACGACTGATCCTGTGCCCACGGCCCCACAGCGGCCCCCGAGGCTGCACCTGGAGTTAGACGCCCAGGACGTTCCCCAGGAGGCCCGCTGGCCTCTCACCTGGGCTGGGAGGGTGCGTCTCAGCAGACCCAGCACCGCTCTGTTCCTTCTTCCACCCTCCGTTCCCCAGGGAGGAGCCAGGTGCAGGTCCTCTGAGGATGACGGTCTGGTGTCATTTAGCAGCTGCTAACGCGGTGACGTGGGAACCCCAGGGCCGCAGGGACTGTGCCTGCACGGACACAGGCCGAGCCCTGCGGGAGGCCCCGCCCAGGCTGCCTGGGGCTTGTCACCTTGCAAACAGCCCAGGCTGCAGCTGGGAGCCGGCTGGGTGTCTGCTCCCAGGGCCCTGGGCCCTCCCTCAGCGGCTCCCTGGTCTCAGCACCGGCTCTGGGGGGCCATCCTCCCAGCCGCTGGCCTGGCCCGAGGCTGCAGGGCCCCTTCCCAGAGGCACGCCTCTCACCGGGCTGTAGACCTCACACAGAAGCTCCATCCTCAGCCGTGCCCACCCCAGGCCCCATTTAAAACTCTATATACTGTTATTGACCTCAGAGGGGAAGAGAGGGAGAGAGATAGGAGCATCCGTGATGTGAGAGAATCACGGATCGGCTGCCTCCTGCACGCCCCACACTGGGGATCAAGCCTGCCACCCAGGCCTGTGCCCTGACCGGGAATAGAACCCTGACCTCCTGGTTCATAGGTCGACGTTCAACCACTGAGCCACGCAGGCCGGGCCCAGGCCCCATTGCTTACAACTGAGCTTCGCTGGCCAGTCTCCTTGAAATCCCCAGACAGAAAAGGAACAGAAGCCAGGAAAACCCACTGAGGTTCACCCCGTGGTTCTCAACCTGCCTAATGCCGCGACCCTTTAATACAGTTCCTCATGTTGTGGTGACCCCCAATTTCATTGTCACAAGTTGAACATAATTAAAGCATAGTGATTCATCACAAAAAACAATATGTAATTATATGTGTGTTTTCCGATGGTCTTAGGCGACCCAAAGGGGTCGCGACCCACAGGTTGGGAACCGCTGGCACTTAAACGGACACGTACCAAGGCCGGCCGGGGTCCCGCGGGGAATGGCAGCCCAGCCCGGCCACTGTCCTCCTGTGGGAGCAGGTCCAGGCTGCGGACCCCTCCACCCGCCCACCTGGAGCCGGACCCGGGCAGCGGGCGGCCCTGGAGCGGGCGGCCAGCCACCCCTCTGCCCCTGCTCCTCGCCTGGCTCATCACGAAGGGAGCTGCCGTCCCATCACAGCTGCGATGATGAAACAGCGAAGAAGTCACAACGTGCCTGAGATAAGGCTCCGGGCCAGTGCCCGGTGCCGGGGAGGCGCCCTGCCCAGCGAGTGGGGGCCCCGCCGACTCGGGGACCCAGAGCCCCGCGTTGCCTCTGAGGCCAGACCCCGGGAGCTCTGAATAATTTCATGGCCCGGGGGAGGGGGAAAGTGAGCAGTCCCCTTTTATGAGTCGGGGCAAGCTTTGAAAGCAAAAGGGGAAATAAAACCCTTTAAAGTTAGCTGGGCAGAGGGCAGAGCTGATGATAACGGCGCGAGGAGCGGGGTGCCAGGCGGGGGACGTGGATGCCGGGAAGAACGGCGCGATCTGTGGACGGCCCGTGGCCGAGGGGTGCAAACCCCCGAGAGGTGAGCCCAGTGGAAATATCCGGAGCTTCACGTGGGAGGGCCGGCCCAGACACCCAGGGGACCAACATGAGAACAGAGTGTCTGCCAAGTGTTCTAAGGAAACACGTGAGTTTAGACATCGGGGTCTGGGACACGATGAAATCCCACGGCGGGAAGTCCCGACATCGGTCAGGGAAGCTGCCAACTGTGAGCAGCTGGGAAGGCCGCCCAGGCCTCGCGCCCCCGCCCCCCCAGTCTCCCTGCCTCTGGCTCTCGGGGTGGGAGGGGCCTGGGGGGAATGTACAAAAAGTTGCTGAAAGGTCTCTCTTGGCTTTGAGTCACTAACTTAATTATTTACCCCAAGCAACGTCCAGCTCTTCCCGCGGGTGCAGAGGAAAGGGGTGCAGTGAGGAGGGACAGGGGCAGAGGCGGACGGGAGCTATCAGGGCCTCTGCCCCCATGAGCCCAGCCTCAGACACCCGTGGAGAGTGGGTGCCTCCGTGGGCATCCTGGTGACGGTGTCTGATGTTCAATGCAACAGGTTATCCTGTTGAAAAGTTCAGGACCTGCCACCATTTCTATCCCAGTTCTCGAAAGACAGTGCTGTATGCAGCTATCTATACGTGAAACGTTTGCCTTTCAAAACGTAGCCAAGTTTTGCAAATCAAACCACCTCATTTGTTTTCATTACTTGCAAGGCTGCCTGGGGAACTTTTTAGGGAGGGCCAAATGTGCCCCCCCTTCACCCTCCTCTGCCCCCCCTCCCCCTCCCCCCGCAGGCCAGGCTTGCTCCCGCTCCCAGCCTGCCTTGCTCTGATCTCGCCGTGCCCACAGCTCCTCTTGTCGGGGGTGTGCGGCCGATTGCCCCTGCCCTGGACAGGCCTGCTGTGTCCGCGCTGTGCCCGGCGCGGGCGGCACCACCACTCGGACCCGGGCATGCAGGGCGCCGGGCTGGCCCTCTGCTACTGAGCTCCTCTGCGGTCCCCGGACACCGGTGAGTCCAGGATGGGAGCGTGGCTGCGGGTGGCGATGGGCCCGAGGACATTTAGCCACCGGGAGGCTCGCTCCCTTCCCACATGCACAGGCGGCGGAGGGTGCGTGCCTGTGGCAGCAACCTGAATCCAAGGCTATTTCAGAAAATCAATCAGAAGTCTAGTGATAGTAAAAAAAAAAAGTTGCATACATTATACATGGTCCTTATTACTCATTCATATTTTTGGGGTGTGCACAGTTTTTCATTTGGGGGTGAAGCAATGTGCCTAGTGAAATGCGGACATTTTACACCTTGGTTTCTTTCTTTTTTTAAAAAACACACAACTTTATTGTTGAAAGTATTACATATGTCGCCCTTTTCCCCCCATTGACCTCTTCTAGCCTGCCCCTGACCCCGTCCCCCGCCCCGGCCTTCCCCACCCTATTGTCCGTGTCATGGGATGGGCACCTATGCATACATGTTCTTCGGTTGATCTGTTCTCACCCACTCCCCTCCCTGCCTTCCCGCTGACATTCCTCCATCTGTTCCATCTTCTACGCCTCTGGATCTACTTTGGTCATTAGTTTATTTTACCCATTAGATTCCACATGTGAGCGCGCTCACCGGATACTTGTCTTTGGAGGACTGGCTGACTTCACTTAGCATAATGCTGTCCAGGTCCATCCATGCTGTTGCAAAGGGTAAGAGTTCTTCCTTTATTTACAGCTTCGTAGTATTCCATTGTGTAGATGTGCCACAGCTGTTTTTCAAAAAATATATTTTATTGATTTTTTACAGAGAGGAAGGGAGAGGGATAGAGAATTAGAAACATCGATGAGAGAGAAACATCGATCAGCTGCCTCCTGCATACCCCCCACTGGGGATGTGCCCACAACAAAGGGACATGCCCTTGACCGGAATCAAACCCGGGACCCCTCAGTCCACAGGCTGACGCTCTATCCACTGAGCCAAACCGGCCAGGGCTAGATGTACCACAGTTTTTTAATCCACTCATCTGCTGATGGGCACTTAGGCTGTTTCCAAATCTTGGCTATGGTGAGTTGTGCTGCTATGAACATAGGGGTGCACGTATCCTTTCTCATTGGTGTTCCTGACTTCTTAGGATATAGTCCTAGGAGTGGGATCACTGGGTCGAATGGCAGTTCCATTTTTAGTTTTTTGAGGAAACTCCATACTGTTCTCCACAGTGGCTGCACCAGTCTGCACTCCCACCAGCAGTGCACGAGGGTTCCTTTTTCTCCGCATCCTCTCCAGCAGTTGTTGTTTGTTGATTTGTTGATGGCAGCCATTCTGACAGGTGGAAGATGGCACCTCATTGTCTTTTTAATTTGCATCTCTCGCATGATTAGTGACTTTGAGCATTTTCTCATATGTCTCTCGGCCTTCTGTATGTCCACTTTGGAGAAGTGTCCATTTTTTAAACTGGATTGTTTGTCTTCCTTTTGTTGAGTTGTATGAGTTCCCTCTATTATTTGGAAATTAACTCCTTTTTGGGTGTATCATTGGCAAATATGTTTTCCCCTGCCGTGGGCTCTCTCTTCATTTTGTTGCTGGTGGCTTTGGCTGTGCAGAAACGTTTTATCTGGATGTAGCCCCGTCTGTTTATTTTCCCCTTAGTTTCCTGTGCCCCAGGAGATGAATCGGTAACATTGCTATGAGAAATATGTGAGATTTTGCTGACTATGGTTTCTTCTAAGATTTTTATGGTTTCACTACTTACATTTAGGTCTTTTAGCCATTTTGAGTTTATTCTTGTGTATGGTGTAAGTGGTGGTCTAGTTTCATTTTTTTTTTTGCACATACCTGCCCAATTTCCCCAACACCATTTATTGAAGGGACTGTCTTTACTCCATTGTATGCTCTTGCCTCCTTTGTCAAATATTAATTGAGCATAATGGCTTGGGTCAATTTCTAGGTTCTCTGGTCTGTATACCTGCTTTATTCATCTATATGCCTGTTCTTGTGCCAGTACCAGGCTGTTTTGAGTACAGTGGCTTTGTAATTTAACATGTTATCTGGTATTGTGATCCCTCCAACTTTGTTCATCTTTCTCAAGATTGCTGTGTCTATTCAGGGTCTTTTTAGGGTCCATATAAATTTTTGGAGTGTTTGTTCTAGGTCTGTGAAATATGGATTGCATTAAATCTATAGATTGCTTTGCATAGTATGGACATTTTAATAATGTTGACACTACCAATCCATGAACATGGTATATTCTTCCACTTGCTTATATCTTCCTCTGTCTCTTTTTTCAATGTCCTGTAGTTTTCTGAGTGCAGATCTTTTACCTCCTTGGTTAAGTTTATTCCTAGGTATCTTAATTTTGTCGTTGCAATGGTAAATGGGATTTTTTTTTTTTTTTTTTTTTTTTAGTTTCTCTTTCTGAGAGTTCATTCTTAGTGTATAAAAATGCCATCGATTTCTGGGTACACCTTGGCTTCTTTATTCTTCTAGTCCCCACCACCACCACCCCCACCCCCAAGAGGTAGGTTTTATTGCTGATTCCATTGTGAGGACAAAATGAGGAAGTTACAGTAAACGCTCACTCACAAGGGCCTGGTGGAGCGTGAATCCTCCGAGCTGCTCTTCAATTCCTGCGCGCTGAGGTCGCGTCTGGGCCTCGGGGTCACCCTGCTGACTCAAAAAGCCTCCAAAAACAGGGCTGCCAATGCAACTCTGGTTCCAAAACAAATACCCTGGCCGCAGAATAAGCCAAAAAGGTGAAAAAGACGGTGCAGTATTTATGAGTCTGAACTTCAGTAGAATCTGACCAGTTCTCAGGAACACTGGGGAACCCCATCGCCGACTGTCAAGATTTTACCCAATTTTCTAGAAACATCTACAGGGCAAGAGGCCCGCTCCTATGTCCTCCCAAATTTCAAAAGACACGGCTAAGGCCTGCGGAGCCAGGTGCTCCGAGGGCACTCGAGGAATTGTTGACTCACTAGGTGAAAGGTCACCATGGAAGGAACTGAACCTGCCCGTCTGCCGTGTCGGGAGCCACCTGTGTCTGCTTCCTTCTGAGTGATTTGAGTCTCATGTTCACAGCATCGTGCTTTCCTGCGGGGTCTCAGTGGGCAGCCATAAGAGGGAGAATGGGGTGAACCTATTGTCGTTCTGATGTAATTTTAAGCCAGTAAAGTAGCGCTGTTCTTGCACAATGACATAGCGCCCAGTTGACCTCTGTTCAACAGGGTGTGTGGGTGAAAGAGGTGGCCCCAAGAACAAAGCGATTTGGGTTGTCTTCCCAGCCGGGGTGATTGCGATGTCTGGGACCAAAAGTTTTGAGGGGTCCTGGGCCAATGCTGGGGTCTTTCGGGGAACAGAGCAGAGAGGGGGCAGAATTACAGAAGACAGGCGGCCAAGTGTGGCATTTATGCATCTCACCAAACACAGTGATTCTTGGTGATATTTAGACTCCGATTTGAGTGTCTTGTGTTGTCAATAGAACTAATTTCCTTTCAAAGGCGTCATCTTTTCTGATAAAAAATACCACAATGAGCCAGTCGGCGTGGCCCAGCGGTTGAGCGTCAGCCTCTGAATCAGGAGGTCAGGGTTTGATTCCCGGTCAGGGCGCATGCCTGGGTTGCAGTTTTGATCCCCAGTGTGGGTCGTGCAGGAGGCAGCCCATCCATGATTCTCTCTCATCACTGATGTTTCTGTCTCTCTCTCCCTCTCCCTTGCTCCCTCTGGAATCAATAAAAATATGTATTTAAAACAAACAAACAAAATATCACACTGATAGGTAAAAAAAAAAAAGTATATGTCTATTTTATGGCAAAACAGACTCATCGTCAAAAATGTTTGAATGGTGACATTTGGAAAAGAATTTTATTTTCAGCAGCTGTAACACCTGAATGCATGACACATTCTAGGACAGAGCGCTTGGTTATGTAAAATACCGATTGTCTCCCCGCGGAGATGGTCAAGGGTTTCACTACTCATTTCAACAATTTAATTGCGAAGGATAAAGAGCCATTTATTGTTTTTATGAGGGTGGTTGTAACAAGCCACTTGCCTTGCCAGTCAGTGGAAGTCACGAGGGAGTACCAGGCCTGCATTTTTTTTCCCTCTGACCCGGAATGCCTCCCGCTAATGAAAATCAGTAGGAAGACAGCACAGGCAACATCACTCCAGAAAATGCCGACATTTAGAGCCTGCAGCTTCTTCACCCGAAGAGGAAGCTGTCTTTGTTGTTGGCCGAGGGCCTTTTATCTGTGCTTCTCAGGCTCAGTAAATGCTAATGCTTCCCTTTATGAAAACCTCACAGGTTGAAACTTTGTAAGGTGTTAAAATGCCTGCTTCCGTTGTCATTGTCATTGTCGCTGTGAAAATGCTTGCCCTACCTGGCACGGGATCACCGGAGAGAAAGAAGACACACAATTATTTTTGAGCAAAAGGGGCACCATTCTTATTAGCCACCCTTGCGTTTCTTTCTAAAAGGAATTGAGTAACTGACGTGCTGTTTCTGTCTTCTCCGTTGTGACATTTTAGTAGCTTCGTTAGGAAGGAGCGATAGTGGCGCCTTAAGTTAGTTACGTAGTAAGTGAAGATGTAATAATGAGGAAAGAGGGGGCTGTTTTGTTGGTATTTCCTGAACGTATCCGTGGAGCCAACGACTACTTTTGTGGTTCTACCTTTGGGAAATACCAACCCACTTAGATCCATGAGGACAGAACACAGGCTTTGCTGGGGGAAGGTCCGAGACTGGGCCTGAGTGCCGTTATGTGCCCCCTGTTTGGTCTTTGAGGAATGACTGACGCGAATAGGACGATGCCCGCGCCCTGCACTGTTGGGGGCGGGGGGGGGGGGGGCGAGCAGGAGGGACCACAGGGAGGGCTGGTCTGGGAAAGCCGGGCAGCGCACACCGGGTGGAAGCCACGCGTGCGATCTGTTCTTTAAGGTTAAGTTCATAAGGAAAATGCTTCCAAAACTTGCCCCGGGAACACTCAGATGTCTCATCTGCAATCCCCAAATCGCCCTCCTCCGGGACGCGTCAAGCCAGACGCAGACAGACTCACCGCGCTGCCCGCTGCCACGCCTGCTCTCAAACTCTCCACCAAAGGCATCTCCGTTGCGGAACTGTTGCAAGCAGCAGAAATCCCTTTGTGTTTTCTCCAGGCCAATACCTATGTTTTCTTTTCTTTTTTAATATAATTTTATTGATTTCAGAGAGGAAGGGAGAGGGAGAGAAACGTCAATGATGAGTGAGAATCATGGATCGGCTGCCTCCTGCACGCCCCCGACCGGGGATCGAGCCCACAACCCGGGCCTGTGCCCTGACCAGGAATCGAACTGTGACCTCCTGGTTCATAGGTCATCGCTCAACTACTGGCGTGATACCCATGTTTTCAATTCCCCTTATGGTCACTCCCCCTCCGGTTCGCTCGGCCTCCCTGGAGCTCGAGGCACCATGAGTGTCTGCTAGGCCCCGGACGGGAACTCCTCTTCCCCCATCACTGCCGTGTGAGATTGAAGCTTCCTGCCACGGTGCTCATCTCCAGTTCTCGCTCAGGAGATGACGGGGGACGGTGTTTCTGCCCCATCCGATCCCGTGCCTGGAGCCTCTCTGTTCAAAGGCCTGCCCTGGTCCCTGTCGGCCCACCACCGTCCTCTCCTGGTTGCTGTGCTCTCTCTGCCCTCCCTGTGTCCGTCCCCCCCTAACACCTGTCCCTGCTCTGTGTGCCTTTAGGAATCAACCGGGAAGTCTCTGCACCTGCTGTGCCCAGACACACCTCCGCAGGAGCGCGCAGTTATTAGGTTGGAGGACAATGACCCTTAGGAAGATCCGTGCGTGTTTGTGCTTCTAGCACCTAACAGCGCTCACACGTGCTGGTTACAAGGCCAGATGGCTGCGTTGTTCTTTAGAAAGGGGCTGTCGGCTTGTCTTAAACGTGGCCACGTGACTCTTCTTCTGTTTTCTGTAGGTCTGACTGCCATGGCGCCCACATTCCTGATTCTTTTGGGGGCCGCCGTCGCACTGGGAGCAGACGTACGTCCTGATAAGAACTGTAAGTGCCACCTATTAAAGTCAGTCATGTCTCTTAAGAAACGGAGCACATTGCAGAAGTGCTGGCGTGGTTTTCTGCGAAAGGATCCCTCAACGCGGAAATTATACGTGGATTTAAAAAAAAAAGTGGTAGAGTATTCGTCCTCAGAATGCGAACTCTTGAAACATGCTGGATCTTGAGAAAGCAAATTTGAGGCTGCCGTGGGAAGTCCTTCTGCCAGTGTGGGGGTTCGGGCCCCACAAAATACAGCCCAGGGAAGAAAGGCTTTTCCCGGCAAAGCACCGGTTAGGAGGCCCACAAGCAAGGAATAGCTACCTCCCACGGCGTTTGCTGGGAACGTGTGGACCACGGGTTGGTGTGAAGTCACAGTCCCGTGGCCCCACCTGGTGGGCCTGAGGGAATAACTCCCTGTGGTAGTGTCAGTGACTTACATCTGTGCTGTCCACTGCAGGAGCCACTGGCCATTGGTGACTATTGAGCACCTGAAATATGGCTCCTGCACCTAAGGCAAGGAAGGTTTTATTATTTTTTAAAATAATTTCTTTTCTTTTATTGATTTCAGAGAGGAAGGGCGAGGGAGAGAGAGTTAGAAACATCAAGGATGAGAGAGAATCATGGGTCAGCTGCCTCCTGCATGCCCCCTATTGGGGATCCAGCCCACAACCTGGGCATTTGCCCCGACCGCAAATTGGACTGTGGTTCATAGGTCAACGCGCAACCATTGAGCCACACCGGCCGGGTTGAAACTATGTTTCTAATAAATAATAATACAGTAAAATATTCATAATTCATGAAAGATCCGTAGATGTCATAGGTAAACACCTGGGCAAAGTAAAACAAAAGGATAATGAGTTAAAAGCAGCTTTGAAGGCACTTCCTCCAGAATCACGTCAGCTTTGTGCCCTCTAAGAGCCCGTCCTGCACAGAAAGTAGTTCACAGCTCTAGGGAGCGCTGCCGTGGACACTGACCCTGCCCTCCTCCTTCTGACCAGTCTCACTCCTCCCACCCGTCAATTTCACCATTCACGCCGTGGGTTTGGCGCAAGTGCTCTTACGCTGGGACCCGAATCCTGATCAAGAGCCCGGGTCGCTCACGCTTGGCTACCACGTGAAGGTCCACGCGCCGGAGGACGAGGACGTGAGTGCCCACCCGACGGCCTCCCCTTTGGAGTCATGTTAACCCCACGGCCCTGCCCTTATCCCAGGGAACGTCCCCCCGACAACATGACGCGGGCTCTGCGCTTGCTCCCCTAGAGCAGCGGCTCCGTGGGAATGCCGGGGAGCCAGCCGGCCCGCGCAGGCCACGGGCAGCCCAGGACGTCTGAACGTTGGGCCGATTCTTTCTCTTACGAAAGAACGTTTAGTAACGTCTGAGGCGCCGTGGAGTGGATGTCGGTTTTTTCTCTAAAATAGCCCACAAAGCAGAAGAGGCTGGCTGAGTAAAACGAGGGGATGGTGGGGGGGGGGGGGGGCGGGGGAGGGCAGATGACCGCACCAAAGACCAAGTTCAAATCCCGGGTCCTACTTTTGCAACCTTAGACCAGACACTTACATCTCAGGCCGCAGCCAGGTTCCCTGCGGGTCACGTTAGAGCGCCTGGAACCTAGCAGGTGCCCAACAAAGGGACACGGAGGCGCAACATCGCCGGGCGCTGCCACGCTCAGTCAGTACGCATTCTAGAGACTTCTATGTGAGGAAGGGGCCTCCGGGAGGACACTGAGGGAGAGTCGGTGGTCAGAGGGAGCGGGGCCTGTGTGTCAGCGTTTGTTGGTTTTTATGAGAAGAACGAGAGGCCTGGTGCACGAATTCATGCACGGGTGGGGCCCCTCGCCCTGGCCAGCAATCAGGGCCGATCGAGACCTGCCGGCTGGGGGACGGGACCGCGGGAGGTTGGCTGTGGGAGCGCACCGGCCACCAGGGTGCAGCTCCTGCACTGAGCATCTGTCCCCGGGTGGCCAGGGCGTTGTCATAGTGACCGGTTGACCAGTCGTAATGGCCACTTAGGCTTTTATATATGTAGATGCGTTTGTGTATCTTTGAGGAAATGATTATGATGTTTTCATTATATGGGTTTTCTAAAGCCCGCACTAATTACTAGAATGAGTAACTTATTCATTTCGTAGTAATCGCTTTATGGAGGGATGGTTTCCGGGTAAAAAGCTGTCCAGATTTACTGCATACAACGTACTGAGTTCAGGGGTGAGGATAGACTCTGGGGCTGTGGGCTTTTTAGAAAACGTATTGCATTGCATTTTATGTGCCATTTAAGAATCGGAACAAAATGCGTATTTGATTAAAATAGTTCGCGTCAGGCTGTTTCCCTCTGACGTACCAGGACCCCTGGGTTTTATTTCTAGTATCAAACCAAGAACACGGAGAGCAAACGGGTGGCCCCGCTTCACCGCGGCTTCTCGGCCAGCGTGCGGACGGTCCCCTGGGAAGAGCCCTCCCTCCTGGCGAGCGGCTGGGTGTCCGCCGAGCTCCCGGCCCCCCCAGGTGAGGCCCCCCGAAGTCCAGGCGCACGCGCGGCCTTTGTAGGTGGGGGGCAGCCGGACGAACAGCTCACGTGTCCCGGGTCACACGAGCCCCCCAGCCCTCTTCCCACCAGTCACACCCTCACCAAGGCGGACCCCAGCAAGTCAGCCCGTTGCACACAGAAGGTCCCATAATACGTGGCGACAACCCCTTTTCCTTTTCGGCCTCACCTCCATTTTTCCCAGCGGCCGTGGGAGGGAGGGAGGGAGAGAAACACGTGTGAGACAGATACAGCGACGGGCTGCCTCCCGCATGTGCCCCCACCGGTGCCAGGGATAGAACCTGCAGCCCAAGCACGTGCCCTTGACCGGGAATCAAACCTGCCACCCTTTGGTCTGCGGGTTCTAACCACTGAGCGACTGGCCAGGGTGACAATCCCTTTGTGAAGACGGAGGAGCTGTCCCCAACCCCTGTGGTTTCCGGCACGTACAGGACGCGGGAGCTGTCGCCACAACGTCTCGTTCTTTCCGTTCGCCGCCCTCCAGGGTCTCCTGGGACCGCCGCGGTGAACCTGACCTGCGCCACCAGCACCGTGGCGAGTAACGGGACGCGCGCCCGGCCCTACCACGTTTCCCTGCGCTGCGCCTGGCTGGGGGGCGCCGCGGCCCCCGAGGACACGCAGTACTTCCTCCGCTACAGGTGGGCGGCCGCTGTCCCTGCGCGCGTGGCCGCCCCCGCCTCGCACACTCACGCGTGCCGCCCTGCAGGTACGGCGCGCGGACGGAGGAGTGCCGCCGGTACAGCCAGGACCCGCGGCAGAGGAACGTGGCCTGCTGGTTCCCGCGGACGGGCATCGACGGCAAAGGGCGGGACCGGCTCGCCGTGCAGGTCAGCGGCTCCAGCGCCCGCGCGGCCATCCAGCCGTACGACGGGCTGTTTGCTCTCCACGCCATCGGTGAGACGGCACAGACCGAGGCGCAGCCGGGCGGGTTGTCAACATCCCTGAGTTCGACTCCTTTTCTTCTTTGTTGTGGTTCATCTCCACCCAAGGGTATTTTTCCCATTGAATTTTAGAGAGAGTGGAAGGGAGGGGGTAAGAGAGAACGAGAGAGAGAGAGAGAGAAACGTCAATGTGAGAGAGACACACTGATTGGTTGCCTCCTAACCCTAAGCCTAACCCTCCTGCACACACCCAACTGGGCTGGAGACTGAACCTGCAACCCAGGTGCATGACCTTGACCAGGAATCGAACCCAAGACCCTTCGGTCTGGGGGCCGGTGCTCTAACCACTGAACACACCAGCATCCTTTCCTGATGCCCGCAGGGACAAGCCTTCTTGGCCTCCACACCCCTGATATTTTGGCTGGATGGTGGCATTGCGGGCTGGACGGGGTATTGTGGTACTGGGCTGTGGCATTGGGTAACCAATGACAGTGTTGGGGGGCTGGATGGCGGATGGTGGTGTTGGGGGCTGGATGGCGGTGTTGGGGGCTGGATGGTGGTGTTGGGGGGTGGGCTGGGCATTGAAGGGGGCTCAGCGTGTACCTAGCAGATGCCAGGAGCCCCTCCCGGGCCAATGTGACAACAGAAATGTCTCCAGACGTTTCCCACTGTCCTGCGGGCACAGACTCCCCGTGGAAACCCCTGCACTGGAAGGGGAACCAGCTCCCACTGGAGGGCCTCACGTCAGCCCCCAGCTCTGCGGGGGCCCAGGCGTCGCTGCCCGAGGGTCCCTGATGGCCTGGTGACGCCTCCGAGCAGTTCGGGTCCCTTGCCCACAAGGGGGGCCTCGGCTGGCCCAGGCGGCCGGGCTTCCAGGCCTGAGCTCTCTCGTGCCCGAGCTGCCGCCCCACCAATGGCCCCTCACCACGCCGGTCACCTCCCTCAGCCTGTGAGGGCGGCTGCAAACACACCCCTCAGGGGTCCTCGCCTCCCTCCTCCGTACCCCCATTAGTGACACTCATCCGGACCGCCCCACACAGCCAGCGTGGTGATGGACACCGGTCTCGGGGGCGGGTCATGCGTGGGGGTGGGCGTGGGCCCTGGCTCCACCCACCAGCCGAGTGTCTGTAGACAAGCCGGCCACTCCTGGGGCCTCAGTCTGACCTGAGAAATGGGGAGATGAACACTCCCTACGAGGTTCTGTGAGATCACGTGTGTTCGTGATGATAACATCTCAGGACAGTGCTTGTGTGGGCATCCAATAAACACGCACAATGCCACCGTGTAAAGGACACGGCTAGGCTGTGGCGTATCTGTGTCCATATCGAACGGAAGATGCTCTGCTTAAAGGGTCCCGCATTTCCTAACGGGCCATGCGATTCTCCTCACTAGTATCTTCCTAGCGGCTTAGCAATGTCACAGCAGCATAACAAAACGCCAGGCGGACGTGGGACACGATGGAACGGACATGGAGATGGACGCAGCCCGACAGACCGCCACAGGGGCTCATTCGTGGCCTGAGTTCCAGCTCCGCGTCCAGTTCCTCAGGTCACCAAAACGAAGTCGTTTTTGGTTAAAAACTTTCTGGTTAGGGAATGGCACTCGCAGCGTGTCCCCATGACTCATTCACTGTGAGATCTTAGGCGCATGACCTCTGACAAGAACGCTCCCTCACAGATAATTGCCACCACATCACATGCCGGGGACACAGTGAGGCCTGGGAGGGAGGACGCGGTGCTGGTAAGTCCAGGCGCGATGAGCCCAATCCGTTCTTTCCATGCCAGAGACGACCAACCCTTTCCCCTCCGTCCATCCCCGCAACCAACCCAAACAGGACCCACCAACAGCTCGGAACGAAAGCGGCCCCCAAGAGGGGCAGTGCCATCGGGGCACACACCTGCGCGGTGGGGGCGGGGCCTGGGGGGCGCTTGGGGCGATTTCTCTTCGGGATCAGTTTACCCTCCAACTTGAGAAGTAAAAGTGGGGTGGAGGGGGGCGGCCGGAGTGACCCAGTGGTTGAGCATCAACCTACGAACCAGGAGGTGGAGGTTCGATTCCCGGTCGGGCCACAGGCCCGGGTTGCAGGCTCGATCCCCCGTGCGTGCGGGGCGTGCAGGAGGCAGCCGATCCATGATTCTCTCTCCTCATTGATGTTTCTGTCTCTCACTCCCTCTCCCTTCCTCTCTGAAATCAATAAAATTATTTTTTTAAAAAAATAACAAAACTTTTTAGGAAAGGGGGGTGGTGGTCTTGCCATGAGGGGAAGAGGGACGAGACGACCAGTCACGGCCGCTCGGAGGAGGAGCCCTTGACCCCTCTCTGGGTGCGGGGTTTCCACGAGGCCTCGCCCTCAGCGGCCAGCCGGGGGCCACGAGGCCTGTGGCCCGGAGGTCAGCGCTGGACGCGTCAGCCCCGCTCACGGACCTCTCCGTCTCTGACCAGATCGCGTCAACCCTCCTGGGAACGTCACGGCCGAGGTGCAGGGGGGCCGTCTGCACGTCCGCTGGGAGAAGCCCGTGTCCGCCTTCCCGGGCCACTGCTTTGAGTACGAAGTGAAAATCCACAACACAGGGAAGCGCTACTCCCAGGTAAGCCCTCGACTCTTCCCACGTGTGCGCAAAGATCACTCCGAGCTCCCCGAGTCAGAGGCGATCGCTCCTCTTAGAGGCGGAAACGGAGGCTCAGGGGCTCGAAAGCTGCCCTGCGGGTCCCTGGAGGGAGAGCTAGGGTTCAACCTGCCCCGAAGCCTCCCCTCTTCCTGCTTCCCTGACACCCCCCCCCCGCACCCCCAGTTGCACATCAGGGATCAGCAAACCTTTTGGCAAAAGACCAGTTACTGTCGGCTTTGCAAGTCCCACGGTGTCGGCCCCCATCCCCCCGCGTCTTGTGTGGGACAAGCGCCACCATCGGCGCCCAGACGCCAGCGGGCGCAGCGTGTGCCTGGCACTTCCCTCGTGGCCCCGGAGTCCGGGTTCATGCGCGTTGCCTGTGGCAGGAACTGTTACTCTTTCGCTCGTTTTCATTCATTTAAAGGTACAGAACGCATCTTCGTTCGCAGGCCGGGCGGAAGCGGGCAGCCGGCCGGAGGGGCCCGGGCCTGTCCTTTGCTGATGCGACAGAGGACGGAAAGCGAGGGAGCACAGAGGGAGGAGGGACACGGCGAGGGGCGGGGCATGGTGCTGTCAGCCACTCGGGTCCCTCAACCTGGGGACACCACGGGGACCCAGGGGCCATCGCGACCTGACACGCGCCCGTTTTCTTTACTTGGGCTACAAGAGCGCTTCCCCCTGCAGGGTGCCTGCCGCCTCCCCTCCACCCCGAGCCGCCCGAAACAAACTCGCCAGTGCGTGTCCTGTTGCCGTACAGGGGCTTGCTGGGCAGCGAGTCCCGTTACGTACAGATGACCGCTCGCTCTGAGCGCTGGCATTCCTGAACTCCGTGTCTAGAGCTTTACTAGAATCCAACTTTTTTTCCCGTTTAGACAGAAAAAATGACGACCAACGAGTTCACCACAACAGTTCATGACATTTCTAAGTATTGCATCGAAGTGAGGGCCGCCGTGAGCTCCGTGTGCAGAGAGGGGGGGCTCTGGGGCGAGTGGAGTCCAGCGATTTCCGTGGGTGAGTACCGTGCATTGGACTATTTATTTTACTATTTCTGTTTAAAAAATGTTTTGATTTTAGAGAGAAAGGGAGGGAGCGGGGAGAGAAACATCTATCAGCTGCCTCCTGCACACCTCCTGCTGGGGATCAAGCCCAGAAGCCGGGCACGTGCGCTGACCAGGAATCAAACCAGAGACCTCTCAGTGCCCAGGATGGCGCCCAACCCACTGAGCAACACGGGCCAGGGCCCTTGCATTTTCTTTCAAGCCAGCAAGCTTATTCCTGGTGAAGGCAGAGAATCCCGGCCCACGCTCTAACTGCTGAGCCACACAGGCCAGGGCAGGAGCACATGTATCTTTTGAAAAACAGAATTAGCAGTTTCACTTTATCAGCCCTTGCATCACCTGCCCTTCCTCAACTGGCTCCCAGGTCTTATCGGGCCGGCTCACTTCCCGCTTTCTACGTCTTTCTCTTTTCTAAACTTGCTCAACTTCTGCATTCTGCTGTCCCCATTTTCCTCGCTGCCTCCGGGCGACGCCCCCTTCCCGACCCTGGGGAGCCCTGCCCTCTCTGAGGTCTTCCCCTCTCACCCCAGCGAAACGCAGATGCCACGCGGGAAGCCTCGGGGTGGGGAGGGGACTTCCGGCGGCCCCGCCCTTCCCGTGGGCGCCCACCTGTGTCCACTTGCGCTTACTCCCGCCCCGCGTCCCGGGTCAGGCTCAGGCACTTGAGTCCTGCTCCTCGGGGACCAGGTCACCCCCAATCCCAGGCTGTGCCCCTCACACAGGGCCTCGCCCGGCCCTCGGAGGCCAGGATCTATGCGACGCCTCACAGGTGCCAGTTGAAATGCATTTCAGGGGATTCAGGGCTGAGGAGCGCAGCGCGTGGCCCTGGGCAGCACACCTGTCGGAGGGTGTGCAGGTGGCTCAGCGGTCAGCGCTGCGGGACAGAGGGTGGGAGGCCTGCGCATGCACTTCAGGACGCAGGGATGGTCCCACCCCTCACCCGCCCAGGGGGGACTGGCCGGGGTGCTGCTGGGAGAGCCCCCCTCTGCCTCTGCTTCTCCCCTGCAGCCCCCCCCCTCCCGCACAGCACCCAGGGCTGCAGGCCCTCCGGGGCCCAGCCCCCCAGGACTTTCTTCCCTGTAAGGCAGGGGTGGGAGCCTTTTGTTTCTGCCAAGGCCCACGTGGATAATCATAACATCATCCGTGGGCGAAATTATCCACTTAAGCATTCTGCCCTGGCAGGTTGGCTCCATGGATAGAGCATCGGCCCACGGACTGAAGGGTCACGGGTTCGATCCTGGTCAAAGGCTTGTACCCGGTTGCAAGCTCCATCACCAACCGAGCTGGAGGCAGCCGATCAGTGTGTCCCTCTCACATTGATGTTTCTCTTTCTCTCTCTCCCTCTCTCTCTCTCTCTCTCTCTCTCTCTCTCTCTCCCCCCTCCACTCTCTCTAAAAATCAATGGAAAAATATCCTCGGGTGAGGATTAACAAAAGTTAATAAATAAAAATGTATTCTAGATAGTAGTCTTTGAAAAAAAATTAGCCTGCTAGATTTGGTCAAACGTTTCATTAACTCACTCCGAATGCCGTGGCAGGGCCGGACCAAATGATTTCACCGGCCCTCGGACGGCCGCTCCCCACCCCTGCTCAGGGCTCCGGACCTACTGAAGTAGCTAAAGGCCGCGGTCAGCGTGGAGAAGTGAGCCAGCAGGGCCCAGACGTGTAAGCCTGGCCTGCCCCTGGCTAGGAGGTGACCTCGAGCCAGGAATCCAGCGTCCAGGGCCTGCTTTGCACAGTGGGGTGAAGTGGGCACAAGGGCTGAAGGAGTCAGTACCCACCAAGTACTCAGCTGTATGACCGTGATTGTAATTATGCACATTGTGTCAAAACGGCGGAGAGCTATCCCTCTGAACTCTAAGACCACAGCGTCCCAGAGCAGGCGAGGCTGTGCCCAGAGGGAGGGCCCCAGAGGCAGAGCTCGGACCAGGCCTCCGTCTTTTCCCTCTCGGTTGCCCCGTCGTACCCCACTGCACACCCCAGGCTGCCCACCCTCTTGTCTGGGTTAGAAAACATAGAATTCTCACGAATTGGCTCATTCTCGAGGTTGAATGGCCAGATGTCAGAAACGATGGAGGCCCAAGTCCCCAGAGACCGAGGCCGGGCCATGTCTGAAAAGCAAGGGATGGGGGAGCCTGGGGGACCCTGGGGGCCGCACTGCGAGGAGACTTCCTCTTTCCAAGCTCACCTCTGCAGGCGCACAGCCTGCCCACCGGGTTCCTGAAAAGAAACCTCTTTGAGTTTCTCCTTGAGTCAGAAAATTCACCTTCTAGGGAAACACTTGTTCTTAAGAAATTCTCTGAGTCCAGAGACTCCAAAATTCAAATTCATCCGTCTCAGGGGCGGCCCAGCTTTTACTATGGCCTTGAAGTGCCAGCCATCGCCAGTGGGGAGACACCCTCGGGGGGGGGGGGGGGTCCGCCTCGAGCTATTGTCTGCGTGAGAGGAAATGGGCTTTTCAGTCACTATTTTGCATGAATGAATAGCTGAGCAGCAGATAACCCCCCGTCCTTTCCGTGTGGCGTGAGTACGGGAAGCTCTGGCCCTCAGTTTACCCGCCAGGTGTGTGTCCTTGGAGGTGAAGCTGGGTCCTTGGTCTGTTTTCTGGGTGGGCTCTGTGCTTGGCACAGGGACCTGCAGCAGCCAACTGCCCACCATGCCCTCCGTGGCACCTCGCCTGCACCAAGCCCTTTATTCGGCGGAGAAATAAAATCAGTTGTCTCCATACTTTTGCTAATGCAGCGAGAATCTTCGCTTATGGAAGCGAAAGCTGGCCCGCAGCTGGAGGGTGGTTTAGCGGAAGGGTTTGCGTCGCCAGTCGGCACGGTCAGACGGAACCGGTGCTTTATCAGCCCGGGCAAGCCAGGCCTCGGGCGTTGCGCCACGCGGGACGGAGTGGGCCGCGTGTGGGACCCTGATAGTGGTTACATGGCGGCTCCTTCCTTCTGCGGGACCCGGGCTTGACCTGTCTGTTTCACCCAGTTGCAGACGGTAGAACATTCTAGATTCTGTGTGTGTGCGTCTGAAGTTCATGGGGTTCATGACCTCAGATTTTTCTGGGATGCATTTCTAGTGCCTTAAAAAGTCCCCGGCCTCCCAAGTTGTCCTCAAAGCCCATAGAAGAATCTGTTTAGATTCTTCCAAACAGACTAGAAGCAAATTTAAGGAGCGTCAGGTAGAACTTAGCGACCATCGCCGCTCACTCCGCTTCCTGGCTGGGAGGTGGGGGAAGGGAACGGGTCTCTGAGAATAAGACTGTATCTCACTCACAGTCTTATAAATATATTTTTATTGGTATCAGAGAGGAAGGGAGAGGGAGGGATGAGAGAGAATCAGTGATCGGCTGCCTCTTGCACACCTCACGCTGGGGATCCAGCCCGCAATGCAGGCATGTGCCCTGCCCGGGAGTCAAGCCCTGACCGCCTGGTTCATAGCGGACACCATTCTTGCTCACTACAAATATCACTCCGTGTTACTGCCTCTATAAGTTCAATTTCCAACTTTGTAAAGCATTTTGGTGGTGATGCGATTCGGCTACTGAGTAGGCCTACATTGTTGTAGCTTTTCCATCTGAAACCTTATTACTCCACCCTGGCCGGTGTGGCTCGGTGATCAGAGCACCAGCCTACACACTGAAGGGTCGTGGGTTCGATTCCCAGGCAAGGGCACGTGTCTGGTTGCAGGATCCCTCCCTGCCCTGGGTCGGAGCGCAGGCAGGAGGCAACCAGTGAATGTATCTCTCTCTCTCTCTCTCTCTCTCTCTCTCTCTCTCTCTCTCTCTCTCTCTCTCTCTCTCTCTCTCTCTCTCTCACACACACACACACACACACACACACACGGATGTTTCTCTCTCTCCCCTTCCCCTCCCCGTCTTTCCTTCCCTTCCACGCTCTCTAAAAAGCAGTGGAAAAAATACACTCAGGTGAACATTCACAATAGATAAATAAATAAATAAAACCTTCTTGCCCCCTAAAGCAGACGCGCTCCAGGTGGCATCGTAGGTAAACGTTCGCCACAGATACCTGCTGAGTAAATGATGCTTCCAGGTGAAAGGGGGCGACCCTGCCCGCATTTCCTGTCGCCCTCCTGTCCGCTCTGAAGGTGGGCTCCAAGCCCAGCGTCAGCCAGCGCCTGCGACTCCACGCCCCGCCTCCCGATCGCCCGGCCGCCCATCTCTCTTCTCTGTCACTGATTCCGTCTCCTCCTTTCCTTTTCCACCAGGAAACGAGGCGCAGAAGCCCTGGACGGAATGGTACCCGATCACGCTGGTGGCCGCCCTGTGCCTCGCCTTCGTCTCCTCCCTCGCCTGCAGGACGTAGGTCTCCTCCGCGCTGGGTGCACCCTGGGCTGAGGTTGCCTGTTCACCCTCCGGCGGAATCCGCTGGGGCTCCTGTTGGGGGGGTGGTTGGGGGGAGGGTATGGCACGTCCGTGTCAGCGGGACCACCGTCCCGAGATGAGAGTGAAGCCGATCAGAGGCTGAGAAACACCAGCCGGTGACGCGCAGACGGGGCCTCGGCACAGCGTGGCCTGCAGCCTTGACAGCCTCCCCCCTTTTAAATATCTTTTCATTGACTTCAGAGAGGAAGGAGAGGGAGAGAGAGAAACGTCATTGATGAGAGAGAGTCATCGATCGGCTGCCTCCTGCGCGCCTCCCACTGGGATGGAGCCCCCCGTCGATGGCCTGACCAGAAATCGAACCGTGATCTCCTGGTTCATAGGTCGATGCTCAGCCACTGGCCGGGCGCAGTTCTGTGTCTCTCAGGGCTTAATCCTCCGCTTCGCTCTCTTCTCAGATGTCACGTGTGGACCAAGCTGTTTCCACCAGTCCCAGGACCCAAAAGCCACATTCAAGACTTCGCTGCCACGGTGAACTACGAGGTACGTCCAAGGTCCTTCCGCTGTGTCCCCCCTGCCAGGGTCGGCCCCCAGGGTTCCCACACGTAAGGCGGGTCTTCCCAGGAGCCCGGGCCCCAGGGCTGCAGGCGTCCCGCTTGGGCCGACGGCTTTGCTATGAACGTTCCTTCCCCTGCTCAGTCCTGCGTCCCTCACGGCCACACTGGGATCCACGTTTCCCATCAGCCGCCTCTGACGGCCGTGGCCAGGCCTGCAGCCCCACGCGCCGCCTTTCGCGGCTGTGGAGGAAGAGGCGTGGAGGGCCCAGTGCCCGCTGAGCTCTAACACCAGGGACCCGGGGTTCTGCCGGGGTGTCCGCACGGGTCTGGTTCCTCGGCGTAAACAACCAGAAGGAAGGCGACTGATTTCTCCCCAGCGGCGTGTTCTAGGTCCAGTCACCACTCAGGGCGCAGCTCGGCCACCGCGCAGGGCTACGGCTCGCCGATGGTTCCAGCATGATGGGGGGGGGGGGGGCACTTCCCCCAGGGAATCATCTTGGCATCTTTGTTGAAAAGTAGTTGTTCAGCCCCGGCCGGTGCTGCTCAGCAGTTGGAGCACCAGCCCGTGCACCAAAGGGTTGCAGGTTCAATTCTGGGTCAAGGACATGCACCTGGGTTGCAGAGCAAGTGAGTGTGTGTGAGTGAGAGTGAGAGAGAGAGAGAGAGAGAGAGAGAGCGCAGGTAGAATTGGGAAAAGCCAGTACCACCTCCTGCTGTCCACCCTGCAGCCCGGCTCTGCCCCTGGGAGGCCGTGGGAGCCAGTGGACAGCTGAGCACAGCTGGGCCACAGCTGGCAGCGCCTCAGCCTCTATCTCCAAAGGCAAAACCTGCCCGATCACTTCTGGGGCCTCGGCTGCCAGGACCGCAGGGGGCCCATTAGGGCCCTTGGCAGCGAGGGTTTGGCAAAGGCCTGGGAAGCACTGGGCTGGTGGGGAGGACGCCTCTGCCTGTCGTACAGCTGTGCCCTGAGCGTGGCTGGCCCCAGGCCTCCTTGAGCCCCTTCTGCTCATTCAGACCGAGTTAGAAACTGTAACATCAAAGGGCAGCACGGGGGCGGGGAAGTGGGGGAAAGAGGGAGGAGTTGGCCTTTGTCGTAAAACAGTCTTATTCTGCCCTGGCTGGCCCGGTGCTCAGCTGGTACAGCATGGGCCCAATACACTAGGTTGTGGGTTTGATCCTGAGTCAGGGCACACACAGCAGCAGCCAATGAATACCTAAAAGCCCTGGCTGGTCTGGCCCAGTGGATAGCGCGTTGGCCTGTGGACGTTCCTCCCAGGTTCCATTCCCGGTCAGGGCTCATGCCCGGGTTGCGGCCTCCATCCCCAGTAGGGGGCGTGCAGGAGGCAGCCGATCGATGGTTCCCTCTCATCATTGATGCTTCTATCTCTCTCTCCCTCTTCCTTCCTCTCTGAAATCAATAAAATAAATAAGATAAAAAATATGGATACCTTCACGTAAAAAAACGAATGCATAAATAAATGGAACAAGTCAGTGTTTCTCTCTCCAAAATCAAGTTAAACCATCTTCTTCTGAGCTTTCAGTTGGTTAGAGACGGTTCCCACCCATCATTCGTTTCTGCGGTAGGAACGGAGGGTTCCCTCCGAAATCCAGGGGCCGTGGACGATGGAAGGTGCGTGAGGCGGAGACCACGCCTGTGGCGGGTCACGCACATTTGCACCTGGCAGCGCCCGGCGCAGACGCCGACAGCGTTTGGCTGAATATGGCCTCTCAGGGGCAATGTCATTTTTTATCACAGATTTCCTAACTGGTATCAGTGTTACTTAAAATCACCAAAATGGGACGTAGCAAATGTGTCCTTGGACAGGATACGATGGAGCTATTAAAAATGATGCAGCTAAAAACAATTTTAAAAAAAGAAAAGAGAAAAGGGGTGTGACCACGGCACACACCATAGAATGCAAGCGCCGTGCGTGGGGTGCTACTGTTTGCGAAGGAATCCGTTTGCGAAGCTGCTTCTGCGCTGACCTTGTAACTGCACAGATGAGTTTCCCCGCAGGAAAGGGGGCTGAGGGCCCCGGGCTGTGTTTGGAGGGCAGGGGGCGTCTATCCCGGGTATTTTTTCTCTTCTTTCTACTTGATTTGCCACATTGTCTTCACTGAACAGTGACTGTTTTTAGAAGCAAAACAGACTTGTGCCCCACGTGCCACGAGGCTGGAAGGAGAGCTGAGAGGGTGTTTGTCTTGCAGAAATCTGGGTCTCGAGAGACAGAGAGCGAAGTCATCAGCTACGTGGAGGAGCCCGGGCTCGAGGTCCTGGAGGACTTGGTGTTCTGACGGGCGTGGGCCACCGGCAGCGAGGACTGCCTCCCGCTCGGAGGCGCGGAGTTCCCCAACACCGGCCTCACTGCGGCCGGGCGGGCCGGCGCCGGGGGATGCGCCCTTCTCTGCGAGTCCCGCACAGCGCTGACCCCGGGGACAGAGACGCTATGGACCCGCTCCCTGCACAGAGCTGGACGCGGCGGCACAGGGCAGAGCCCAGGCCACGTGCTGTCTGGGGAGGAAGGCGGCCTCAGACTGCGACAGGAAGCGCAGGGGCCACGGGGGCCTGGCCATCGGCCGCCGCAGCCCGGCTCGTTCTGCTGACGCGGCTCAGCGGTGACGCGCGCATGGCTGAGAGGAGCTGGGCTTTGGGAGAAAGTTCGCGATTTTTTTGTTCGTTTTTAAAAAATATGTTTTTATTGATTTTAGTGAGGAAGGGAGAGGGAGAGAGAAACATCCATGATGAGAGAGAAGCATGAATCGGCTGCCTCCTGCACACCCCACACTGGGGATCCAGCCCACAGCCCGGGCATGTGCCCTGACCGGGAATTGAACCCTGAACTCCTGGTTCATAGGTTGATGCTCACCCACTGAGCCACACGGCCGGGCAGAAAATGGCACGTTTTGAGTGGCCACTGGCCTGTCATGGCCGGAGAGAGTGGACATTCACTTAACAGTAAATGCCCGTCGGCAAGTTGATTAGACATTGGCCCAGCCTCCCACCAGGACAGCTGGGCGGCACTCCCCCAGCCCAGAGCCTGGGTCACGGACCAGAACACACGGGGTTCCTCCTTCACGCCCCCCACTGAGGGCTGAGCCCTGCCCCCCCATCTCTCTCTCTCTCTCTCTCTCTCTCTCTCTCTCTCTCTCGCTCGCTATTGGGATTCTCTGGTGCCTTGTGGGGGTGGGGTTGGGAGGTTCAGTTTGCCAACAGCTCGCCCATCGCCCACCTGAGCCTCCTTGAAAAGCCTGGGGCCCTGGCTGTTTGCACAGGGGGGAGGGGAAGGGGGGGGAGGAAGGAAAGGGGGAGGGGGGAGGGGGAGGTGTGGTGGAGAAGCACAGCTCACAGAGAACTCTGATTAAAAACCCAAACTTTTTCACAGCAAGAGACTCGTATGTGTCAGGACCATCTGCTGTGGAATTAATAAACCGTAGGTGCTAATTGGCCAGGAGAGCCAGCTCCCTGCCAGGGAGTGCGAACAGAACCAAGCGCTCCTGATGGCGGGCCGTGAGACCTAATTAGATTGGGGCCGGGGCTGCGCCTGGAGCCTTGGTGACAGCGACACAGCGACGGGGCAGCTACTCCTGGTCCCCAACCTGCACGCCAAGTTCCCGGCCACAGACTTCCTGAAAACCAGCCTGTTTCTGAGAATGTGCTATTGAACTTAAAGACGGTCTTCTCCCCCCCCCCCCCCCCCCACCCCCGCCTGCCGTGTTAGGAATAGACACGCGTGTACACGCGGCGCAGAATGAGAAAGGTCAACACGAATGACGGCGGGTCGTCTGAGCCGGCGAGCTGAACGGAGGTGTCTCCCGTCCCCCCGCGACCCCCGGCCCCCACGGCCGCTCCGTCTCCCCAGGACCCTGCAGCGGCTGACGGAGCTCTTCCCGCCCATTTCCTTCCCTAAGGATCTGTGCCGTCTGCGGTGTCACCCCGTCCACAGCCCTTCACGACCCGTCACCTTCCCAACCAAGTCCCCTGTGACCAGCTGGTCGGGACCCTGCAGCGCCCCCCCTCCCACGGACAGCTGAGCGACCTCTCTCCCAGGCCGCCCTCCGCCCTCCGCCCTCGAGCCTCCGCCCGCACGTTCTCCGGGAAAAGCCGTCCAATCTCTCCCCTCGCTGACATTTTATCTACGGACACTCGGCCCTTTGCCCCCAGGAGCCTCCCTCTGCCTCCTGTCCCTTCGGTTGGCGTCGAAGTTCGATTCTGACACTTACCCTGCTGCCCCGCACCCTTCTCTCTCACGGGAACAGGAACACCAGCGTGGAGGACGGAGTCCTGTGGCCCTCGTGGCTTTGACCCCGGGAAGGACCGGCTGAGCTTCTCGGGAAACGCGAGGAGGCGCGCTGTGTAAACGGACAGAAGCGCCCCCAGGTCGCTGATCTGCGCTAACGCACAGCGAACAGCGGCGCCCGCCGCAACCGCATGGAAATCACCTGCTGCGCCGGCGCCTGGCCTCGGCGGCGTGGCCTGCGCTCGTCACGCGCCGTTTCTGTCCTTTGGTGGCTGCACGTTCGCTGGGAGGACGGACAGGGGACACCTGGGAAGAGGTGAATTGGGGCTGGACGTTCTTCCCCGTTGTAAACAACCGACAAAGCCGGGCAGGAGAAGCTGTCACCTGCCGGAGATCAGCGCCCACGGCAGTTCCCGCGTCTGGGCTGGGGGAGCCCCGAGCCCACCTGGGAACGAGACATGTCACCGCGTCGTCTGCTCTCGCGGGCGGAGCCGGGTGTCCGGAGGCTGTGCGGGCTCCGTAAGGCGGGACACGCAGAGGATCCCGTCATCTGGCAAAACAGAATTTCCTCGGACACCGTTAATTACACGGGATCTCACACCAAACCAGAGGCTCGGGGGAAGCCCTCGATAAGGCTAACTAGCCTGCCGGTGTAGCTCAGTGGTTGAGCATTGACCTTTGAACCAGGAAGTCACGGTTCGATTCCGGCCGGGGCACGGGCACGGGTTGCTGGGTCAATCCTGAGTGTGGGGCGTGCAGGAGGCAGCTTTTCCATGATTCTCTCTCATCATTGATGCTTCTCTCTCTCCCTCTCTCTTCCTCTCCCTTCCTCTCAGAAATTAATGAAAATATATATTTTAAGAAAAAAGAGAAAAGGCTAATTAAGCAAAGCCCTTTCCCCGGCCGCCTCCACGCCACTAGCCATGATCCCAAGTGATAGGACCCCCACCCCCCGGGCGTGTTAATGAAGCCTCAGGCCTGGGACGTCCCCTCGGACAGCCAGGCCCACAAAGTGTGCCGCTCAGACCTTCCCAGCACCCCTTTTCCCATCTTCCTGAAGCGTCATCGCAATTTTCCTTGGGCAGATGGCCCTCCCGGTGGGTGCAGGCCTGGCGTGACCCAGGGCCTCCAGCCGGGGGACACCAAGTGACTGACCAGTCTCTCCCAGAAATGCGGGCATCGAGCAGAGTGGCGTCGATATTGGAAAAAGAGCCCGGCCGGCGTGGCTCCGTGGCTGAGCACTGACCCATGAACCAGGAGGTCAGGGTTCGAGTCCCGGTCAGGGCACATGCCCGGGTTGTGGACTCCAGCCCCAGCAAGGGGCGTGTAGGAGGCTGCTGATTGGTGATTCTCTCTCATCATTGATGTTTCTCCCCTTTCCTCTCTGAAATCAATAAAATGTTAAAAAATAAACTGGAAAAAGAGCTGATTTATCCCCACACAGGATCCCAACGACTTTCCTACGTCCCTGTGGCCTGGGTCCTTGGGGGGCCTGGCCGTATTCTCACCAGGGTGGCTGCTCAGCGCGTCCCTGGCTCCCGTGACCTAACCGCGTCCTCCTCTGTGCTCCCGGCGTCGGCCAGGGCTGCTTCTGTGGCTTGTCACCAGGGAACCCAGCCGGCGGCCGTGGGAGCCGCCAGGCAGACCCGATGGTGCGGGCGCCTCTGAGGCAGCTCCTAGCGCATCTTCAGCATCTTCAGCCCAGTCAGGCTCTGCGAACCCGGGGCCCGCCTCGTCAGACCCTGGAGCTGAGAGATGGAAGGGCTTTCAAGGCCCAACGTTAGGTGCCGGGCCTTCTAGCGCTTTCCACCACCTCTTGGGGGGGCGGTGATGGTCTTCCCGGGGGGGTGCACCGAGCCGGGCAACTGAGGCAAAATGCTACTTCAAGAGCCCTTGGATCGATTCATCAAGGATTGTTTATTGCAAGGCACGGTGCTAGGCACGGTGGGTACATGGAAGAGGCCAGCGCCCTGCCCCCGAGGAGCTCACAGTCTGGGTGGGAGACAGGGCACAGACAAGGACAGCTGGGCGACACACAGGAGGTCAGAGACAACCAGGCACAGTAACAGTTTCCCCGGGCGACCCGGTGCCGGTCCACCCGAGCGGGACCCGCCGCGGCTTGAAGCTCATTCATCTCAAAGGACCGACGCGTGTGGGAGGCTGCACTGCCCACCCGGGACCCTCGGGACCTGGGGGAGGGAGACCTGGGCGTCTGGGGGAGAAGGGGGAGCGGGAAGGTTATTGCAGGAAGGGGCAGCCGGGTGACCCAAAGGCACCGAGGTGAGACCGGAGCAAGGGGGGGCCAGGGTCCAAGGTGGACAGGTTAGAAGATTTAAAAGGGCCTTAGATGCTCATATTTGGAGTTTATGCTTTTTAACAAAATGGCAGGTCTCCTGGGATGAGCGATACGCAAGGCGTCGTCGCTAATGGAGAGGACAGATTCGAGTTGGACCTTCGGGACGTTTATCTGAGGTTTCGGCCCTCTGCACCTGCCCACGGGGCGTGGGCTGGTGTCTGCAGGGCTGTCACTTCCAAAGGGACAGCTCGGGGGCCGCTGGCGGTGGATCCTGCCGGAGACGGCGGAGCCCCTCCGTGATCTCAGTATGGCCACCAGGGCGAGCTCACAGTTCCCTTCCGCAGGCAGGAAGAAGGCTCCCGGAAGACAAGCATCTTTACAAACGACAGAATATTTATTAACAATAGCGTTAGAAAAAGAGTACATTTGCTGCTGGGTCACTGGGAAGTACCATCGACTTGGGGGTGGGAACTACCTGGGTGGCTTCTTTTTTTTCATTCATTTTATTATTTTGTTGTTTTTTTGTGTGTGAATATGTGTGTGATTTTAAATTTTGTTTTATTTAGAACAGAGAAGTAACCATATCCAACTAAGGAAGGAACACAGCTTGAAACACTGAACAATATTTTCCCTGTTGCCACCCTAGTTTTTACACAAGTGGAATCCTGATTATGACTATTGGATAAGTAGAGCGAGAAGGTAGGAAAGTCAACGTACGTTCTCCATCAAGCAAAAACGGGCAGATTGCAGGCAAACCCGAGCTCTCTGAGAAAGGAGAGGTGGCAGCCTGCGTACATGTGAAAGTGTGTGTCGGAAATGTCACTGCCTTTTAGATGCACTGGTCCACCAGATTCAGCTACAAAACCTCCCCCGTTATAACAAATAGGCCTTCCATCGGAATATGGTTTTGTTGCTACTGCCATTTTCCGACGTGTGATTGTAAGACGTGGACGGTAAAGCGTAGAAAGCAGCTAGGCTACGGGCTGCACAACACGAGCTCCTGAGAGCTCCACACCGTCGCCCCCACCACCTTTTACGGAGTCTTGGGAAAGAGCTGAAGCAGCAGCTGTTCACTGAAAGGAAGTCTGCCCGATCCAGACATGGCTCTGACTTTAAAGACAGACATATTCTACATAAGAAATTCCGGAAAGAATGGTGAATCTGTGACCAGAGAGTTACCCTTGTTTAAAAAAATGTACATTCAAACAGATACAGTGAAAGATAGTAAACGTATCTCTTAGCCTCTGAAAGACGGGGCTGCTATGGTAACTTTTGGTCTAAGTTACTACAGGAGATGCGACTTCAAATGCAACGTCTAAGGTAAGGCTGCTACAGAGACGATGCTAACGAGGTGAGTGGGGAGAGTCTTGGGGTCCATGCTAAGTTCAGGGTGAGTATTGCACATGGGACCTCTCGGGGAGGGAGTTCAGGTGTTGAAATTGCAGCCGTTCCCGAAACCGTCTCAAGAAAATGCACCCCAGGCAGAAGGACATACTGTACATGTCCCAGGCCCCATCCAGCCTGCTCGCCACGGAGGGGGCCCTACAGCGCAGCCCGGAGCCACCCACCAGCCTCCGGCGCCGGCCCCGCCGTCCTTGTCAAACTACACGTCATTTGCAATAGATTGACCAACGTGGGGTTCACACTCTGCCTTTTAAAGGAAACATTTTCAAACAATAGTTGCATGAG